GAGGTAGTAGTTGGTGAGGTTGTAATTGTTGGAGTTGTAGCAATAGTTGTAAGAGTAGTGGTAATATTTGTTGTAGGTATTGTATTCGTCACATTTGGGATAGTAGTTGTAAGGCTATTAGCTATAGTTGTCGTTGTTATGCTGGTAGGAGATGTGAAAGTTGTAATTATCGTTGTAGTTGTCGGAGTTGTAATATTATTTGCAGGTATAGTAATAGTAATCGGAGTTGTGGTATTAGTTACAAGATTATTTTTGATGGTTGTTTTTTTAGTTTTAGTCATTTTGGGGATTTTAGTAGTTTCCGGGGTAGTTTTTGGTGTTCTTGTAGTTGTTTTTAGGGTTTTAGTAGTTTTAGGAGTTTTTGTATATTTAGGGGTTCTACTAGTTATAAAGGTTTCAGTAAACTTTGGGCTTCTAGTACTTTTGCGAGTTCTACTAGTTTTAGGAATTCTATCAGTTTTAGAGGTTTTTATTTTTGATCTTTTTGTTTTATGTCTTCTAATAGTTTTGGGTATATTAGTTCTAGGAGTAGTGGTTTTAAAAGTTCTTGTTGTTATAAGGGTTTTTGTATTTTTTTGTGTTTTAATTCTATGTCTGCGAGTAGTCGTGTAAATTAGTTCCCAGGTTGCATTAGTATTTATATTAGTTATATTTTTATTTTTTATTGTATTAATGTTTATAGTGGATGTATTAGAGTTCATTACAGTTGCATTAGTGTAGATCGCGGTTGTTATAATTGTGGTAAGGTTAACAGGTATAGTTTGAACAGTGATATTATCAGAAAGGCTTCCAACTCTAAAATCTGGTATTAATTTATCTTCATAATATATTGTGGCTTCTAAGACTTTGATACTACTACCAACTATCGTCTAATTTATGAATATAAAATTATATGTGTCATAAATTTTCAAAATAAATTCTTTACATTTTATCTTTATTTATATTAGATTTCTCTTATTTAAATATGTAAGATCATCAATTTTAAAACACCCAAAATGAATAAGAATCGGAAATAGACTTAATAAAATCGATAGGACGGAGTTGAATTAGAACGGACCTGTATAAAATCGTTTAAAAATAACCGGAGTAAATATATAAACAAGCAAGAAGGGAAAACAACAAAATTAATTCAAGTCCACGTAGAAAAAAACATATCTGTGAATATATTTTTTTTTTCGATTTAAAACTTTTATATATTATAAAAAAAATATATCAAAAATAACATATATAAAATTATATTAAAATTTATAAAACATAAAAACTATATCACATTTTTTTTTAAAGTCAAAGAAAACAATCAATTTTATATTAAATCAAAGAAAGTTTTCATTGAGATTCGAGGAAACTAAAATCTCCTAGCAAATTAGTAATTTGTATTTTTTTTTAAATAAAAATATATATAAAAAAATCTGTTTTAATCTATGTTGTCGAGAAAATGAAAAAGATACAATCTTAGATACAGATATAAGTATATTATTAAAAATGTCAAAAAGATACAAGATACAAAATGATTTTATTATATTGAATAGACACAAGTATACGCCGGACTGGCCAACTCTGGTTTTTAATATCATATATATGGCGAAATCCATGACAAATCAACATGAGTTTCAACCCGACCCTCTAAGATTTTTCTAAAATAAAGATAAAATTTTGCCTCCAACTCTAAACAGCAGCCGGGATACGAGCCTCTAAAAATCTATTCTTTTTAATTTCTAAATATCTTTGTATATAATGAAGCTAGAAGCTATATATAAATATAGTCTAATGGTAGGCCTTTAAAGTTATTTAATGTTATATATTTTTTTAAAAAAAATTAAGAAACGGAAATAGAAAACTGGTAATAGTCATAAAATCAAATCGACATTTTTTTTTCTCTCTCAAATTCTTTTATATATAGATATAGATCTAGATAATAAATGTGCAAAATTTTAAGTTGAACCTATCTCAGGTTTATGGAGATATGACAATTTATTAGTCAATTGTAAAGAAAAGCTCTTAAATATCATGTATTTAAATCAGAAACCTGTAGGAGTACCATTTGCATAGCCCGACCAAGATTTTTAGGCCTTGCCCTTGTATATTTAAAATAATTGAAGTACCGCTAAGGCCTGTGTTACTAGGCCAGGCTTAGGGTCGCGACTGCAGGTTTCAGATTTAAATAAAAGATTAAATATGTGTAGGGGGGCTATATAAGTAATATATTTACTTGGCACCTAAATTTTTCACAATTTGGATAAAACATATAGGTTGTGAAGGCCTAAGAAATGTGCTTTCTTTGAACGATTAACCAGAATAAATCATTAACGATCAAATTTGCGTTATAGGAAAGAAAAATTTGAGAAATATGTTTTGAAAATTTTTTTCAGAAGATAATCTTAATATTAACGATGAATGAATTGAAAAATAAATTTAAAACAACACATTCTAGCAATGAAAATATTCAATTTAAATTGATAGAATACCAATTTGATTTCTTGAATATTTGTAGTTTTCTATTTCCGGTTTTGACATTTAAAATTTTTTTACATTTACTATATAACTTTAAATGCCTATTATTAGGCTATACAAATAAATTTAAATGACGCTTATTGCTCAATTATCTATATCCAAAGAAATTTGTCCATTTTTCCCAAAAATACCTCATATTTTTTAGGTTTAAAGGCCCATATATCAGCCGTTGTTTGGGAATTGATGTTAAAATTTTCTCTTCATTATGACATATATAAATTCTTGTAAAAATTTTAGAAAAATTTTAGGGGGTAGGGTTTAAAATCGTGTTTTCTTTGTCGATTTAATTTATTTGTAACACTATTTCATCATTTTGATAAACAAACGTTTTAAAATTAAATTTTATCATATATATATAAGTACTAAATGAAAACCTCGAAATCTACGCTGAGAATTGATGATATCCTCGAATTTCTAACATAGAATCTGAATTTTTTGAAAACTCCAAAATCTGGAAATTCTCTTCGTACAACTACGGTTAATCCATTCATAGAATAATCCGTCATATCTTTAGTATCAACTAAAGTATTACCAATCCTTACGCCTATACAATATTATTTTTTTCTATTTTCTGTAAAAAAATCATTATATTACCTATCACATATGGCGGTGGTAAATAGAATATCAATTCAAAATTGCAAACAGCTTCATCGAAAGGTTTTCTCGCAGAAAAAAATTGTACGTTAGTGGGAATCTCTTAATAATTTTTTTATAATATATTTTAACAAATTAGATATAATATTTCTAAATAAATTTTAACAAAATAATACTTAATTGAGATATTACTATATATTTATTTTTTTTACTCTGCACGAATGAAATTGGTTCATTTTGGTCTAAATCTTTTGATAAATATACATTTTGCTTTCCACCTGACAATATACAGAGTTGTAATGGTCTACGACCCACATTCAGAAAACCTATGTTATTTATTGGTAAATTTTAACATCATTGTGTATTCATAATATTATTATATAATATATATAATATATTTAATATATACAATAATGAGTATGGGTAACACGGGCCGGCCCGTCCTTAAATCCGCCTGCCCGCAGGCCTTTCCAAGAATTTAAAAAAAAATTATAACACTGCCCGCGCTATGCAAAAAATTTAATGTGCTGGTCAAAAAATTTGGCCGTGGTCGTGCATTGTATTCGTATATAAAAAAATTCGCTCGTTGGACAATTTCTACATCAAAATTTAACTAAGACCTAGAAAATCTCTTTAATAGGTTATTCCGGGCATAAAAAATTTTGATATATATTTTTTCCTGGATTTTATGCTAATATTTTGATTAATACTATATAGAAATAAATTATAAAATATATTTCTTTGCAATTTTTAATTAAGAGCTGTCTAATTAAAATACTATATCTATAATTAATATAGCCTAATTCACAAAAAAATTAGTTGTTTATGATATGATTAAATTACGTATAACACAATACAGATATCAAACGCAATTAATTTATATAAGGCGTTTATTTTGGAAATAGCTAGCAATAAAGGGAGAGAAAAGTCTTAATTGTCATAGGAATGAATTTGATTTATTAAAAATATGAGAACCGGACTTTTCGTAAACTTTTAACTGGCCGGGCCAGTTTTTTTTTGTAAAATTTTAAAGGACAGAGCAAGTACTTAAAAAATTTCCGGCATTTAGGGCCGGGCCAGGCTTTATATACCTATTAATATTGGGGATATATAGAATATACGTACTTAAAAAATTTCCGGCATTTAGGGCCGGGCCAGGCTTTATATACCTATTAATATTGGGGATATATAGAATATACTTCTATTAACGCAACGTTCCGAGTATATTTCATTTTTTGTTTTAGAACTTATAATTTTTTCTTAACCTGCCATTTTATAATTAATATTATACAAATTTATTAAATAAATAATCTGTAATACTATTATTTTTTAGCAAATATTTTCCCCTCATTTAATTATCCTCAGGATTTGTATGTTACAATGCCAAACTATTATATAGGCATATGTTTAGTCCGCCTAAAATCTATGAATCCTTTTCATACTTTCTCTTTTTAATTTTTTGTATAACCCTTTTCATTTTTTTTTTTTAATGTTACATAATTTTACCGGGTAAATTTATAAAGATTAAATATTTCAATTTTCTCCCAATTCCAATATTACTACAATTTATGTATAGCATTATTATAAGAGGAAAAATTATATTTTAGATAACACATATTATATTTAGTGGCCGTTCCATCCTATTACTAAACCAAATATTAACGTCAAATTAGGAAAATATATAAAACATTTTTCGAACCAAGCCCGGTAAAAACAGGTTCTATATTTGTCCCAAGATTAAATTTAGCCAATAAAATTTTACTTTGCCCAATTATAAAATTAAAAAAATGGTTTTATTATTTATATTATAATATATTAAATGACATTTAATAAAATTTGTTTTAATTTCCTCCTCTTAAAATTTATTATTTATTAGACCATTTTTGGTATATTAAATGAAATATTATTATTTTTTTACCAGAGTTGAAAGCCAGTCCATAGTTGATACCAATAGCCAAGAAAATTGCAACACACTAATTGAAAAATTAAGGTTTGGCCTCATTAAAATTAAATATAAATTTGTTTTACCAGCGAATTCAAATGCATTCATATATTTGTAAATTTTATTGTAATGTTATTGTAAAAATTCTTATCAAGTCTTTTTATCGAATTTCCCCAACTTGAAAAGGAATGCCAAGTTTTTACATCAATATATTAGATTTAACATTGAAATATATTAGGTTGACTTATTATGCCATTTGAAAAGCATTTTGGAACCAATTTGGGTAATATGATAACTTCAATAACAAATATGTTATCTTTAATTTCTAACGATATTAAAAGGTAAGAAAACTATTTTATTATTCTTATCAGTAGTAACAAAACATCATTTGGAATGATTTTCTATGTAATTTGATATATATTTTGGAGTGTCAGAATACATATTTATAGTTTTATGTATAAGAATATATAAAAAATTACCGAAATTTATTCGGATAATAGTTATAAATCAAGAATTAAAATTTTCTTTTTATTTTTAATTATTATTGTAATTTATTTGTTGTATTCTGCATTCATTTCAAGTGTGAATTATACCTTATGAATGATTTAGTTATGTATAATAGCAAAGGGTTCAGTATTAAAATTTAAATGCAAAAAGGAAAAGAAAAATTCTTATACCAATAGAATAAATCCTTTTAACGATTTTAAAAATTACAACCGGATGTTTTGCTCCAGTCCTTCCCGGAATCCGGTCTAAACAAGGGCGAATAGCCCTGATTCCCATATTTTTTGGGTTTTCTCTTAATGATTTAGGAAAATACTGCCAAAATTATTAAATTATTTTAAAATGAAGAAACTTAAAAAATCTGCGCAGCAAAGTCGTGATTAAAAAATTGAATTATTTCTAAAATCCAGGTCGGGCTTAAGTTGTTATTTTAATCATTTTAAGATAATTGGTTTCGATATTTTAACCTTAGGAGACCTGAGCGAAAATTAATTTGGTCCTTTTAACCCTCCACCCATCTCCCACCATTAAAAACAAAATTTATGAGATGATAAACCAGGTTAGTATTCAGATATCATTTTGAATGAAAGACGATCTGAAAAATAAAATATAAAATTAATTTACCAAGAACCCCCCTTCCCCACCGCCTCGAACTTCAAGGCTGAGCTAATTTTATGGCTCGTGCTCCAAGACTTATTCTATTTTTTCCGACTGGCGCTCCTAGGCTAAGCCAATATTTTTTTAATCGAGCTCCAAGTTTAAACCATTTTTTCGACTCGTATACCAGGTTTGAGCAGATTTCTGTGGCTAAAAAAGAATGAGCCAATTTTTCAGCTCGATCTCCAAGGCTCAGCTGATTTTACAACTCATGTTCCGAGGCTGAGCCAATTTTTATCGGTGTTCCATGGCTGAGCCGTTTTTTCGGTTCACGTCTGAAGGCTGAGGCGATTTGTTCGGCTCCCGTTCAAGACTGGCCGGCTTGAGTGGAGCGATTTTGCATAGCTACACAAAGAGAAATAAAATTTGGTAACCCTAGATCAATGACATATAGTCATACCTAGGCTAACGGTGACGATTAGTAAACTTAAATATATATCAATATGGACCAACTGCTGGCAAGCCATTTTGTAAATTATTTTGGTTAACTAAAATGGTGTACGACCAGCCGATTCGAATATAACGACTCTTCGAAATGAATAGCAGTAAATGATAGGGTATTAAATGTCATTGTATCTAATATAAGCTCACCCACCTCCTCATTTGCAAGAGACTGCCGACTTTTTATTTTTAAATATATTTTTAAAATCTAAATTTTTTGTAATTTATACCCCCCCCCCCCCCACTCTTCAAGGCTAATGATATACCCGTTGGCAACCTATTTTAAATATATAAAATATGTAAAATTCAAACTTAGCCCAATAAATGCTCATATTTCATATTTACACAAAAATATTTTATTTTTTTTTAAGTTTTTATCATAGTATTTTAAAACTATTTATTTAAACACCTTAAATTGAAGGTTGGAACTTTAACCTTGTTGTAATTATCAAGTTTTTTAAAAAATATATATATATTATCATATTACATAAATTTACTCCAAAACAAATAATATAGATGTTAGTATCTTCCATATTAACATTAAATATCCATGTTTAAAATTAAATTTATAAAGGTATCAAATGTCTATTTCACCTTCAGTTTAAAATATTTTATATTAAAAATAAATTTTGATAATTGATGCCCAATATGGTTAGTATATAAAGGCAGAAATATCTGGATATAAAATTAATATTTTAAAACTAAACATTATTTAATTACCATCCCAAAATAATCCCAATTTTTATAATTATTTTAAAATGGCAAAGAATTCAACTTCTATTTTTCTGGTAATAAATTTATTTATTCATAAATGTTCATTATAACCAATTTATCTTTCTCTGTTTTTTTTCCTATTAGGGTCTCGTAATTTTGTTGATATTTGCGACCAACTATGGGCTGAGTTTCAACCAAGGTAAGAAAATTATAATTTAAAACACTTTACCATTCAATTATATATAAATACAAATTTTTGGGAAATATCGCTAATTAAAATAAAACAACTTCCCTTTATCAATCTCGTTAATTAATTCAATAAAAAAATGATTTTCGAACTATATTATCCAATAATAAAAAAGTTTTAGGAAATCCATGGGGTTTTGAATTTTTTTTAAGTTTATAAAAATTAAATTAACAATTCAGTAATTAATTATGTAGATGCGATTTTAGTCCTTTAGGAAAAATAGGTATACAGGTTTTTAGAGAGAGTGTTTGCCTTCAGTAAATTTTCTGTCATCTGGACGCTGCAAATAACTAAATAATTGGATTTTTAATTCAAAAAGAGAGGTTTAATTTTGAAATTTTATTCAAACTCTAAAACGCAATTACAATACTCGTGTAATTTTTGTATTTTATTTAATGATTTTTAAATATTAGCTAGAATTTCCAAATATTATCTATCGTGATTTTTATGCATAAAAAATCTTTCATGGTGAAATCATAATTTTTAACTTTTTTTCGTCTTTTTTTAAAAAAAAATCTTTAATTTTGCCATCATCAGGGTCTTTCTTTTCTTTCTTTTTCTTGCTCAAAATTTGCGAATATTATTTTTTCAAACTCTGATTTCAATTATCAGCTTATTTTATACCAATAAAATTTATTTTAAAAATTGGATTTGTTTGATATTTTTAGATATTTCGTGTTATAATTTCCAATAAAAATATTTTTAAAAAAATATGTAATCCAACAAGGCTAACGTAAAAACTTCCATATTTTTTTGAGCCATCCAATACCTTATAATATCTTTTTTGATAGTAATTTTCTCAAAAATTGTCATCTGATGAACAAGTTCATTTATTTCTAAGCAGAGCTTTTGTTGTGTTGAGCACTTGTTTCAATAGGTGTTGGTAAATCTGTTAGATGTCCGATTCTGGTGAATTTTTTAAAAACGAGCCGTTTAAAATTTTAGCCAAATATTATGTCAGCCTGGAGATTTTGATAGGCAGTAAAATGCTAAATCTTTAGGTATAATCTTTATCCGGTCATTATTTATTTAAATCGACCCTATTCGGACTTTTTAAACAATCCTATGTGTTTGAGATGCCCGTGGTGTATTATATTTCACAAAAATGATTTTTTCTGGATGGAAGTTTAAAGATTGCTAAAGATGTAACAATCTCCAAGAATTTAGGATTTTTCATTCTTTAGAGTCATCAGATTCCTTTAAAAAATCGTTTCCTCTTTCCTTGAAAATAAATTTTGGCACTAATAAAAATAACAAAATATAAAGATGACAAATAATTTATAATTTAGAACATATTCTCTCTTACTCTCTAATATAATTGCTAATATTCAATTATGGAACCCATAAAAATGTAAACGTGAAGGGAAATCAAAAATTTTAATTTATTAATTATTTAATTTGCAAATACTTGTTTTAAAACATTTCCAATATCAGTTGTAACAACTTTCTTATGGAATTGTTTTAAACAGTTATAATTTATTTTAGTTTAAATTTTACATTAATAACAGCGAAAAGAAAGGTATTGTGCAAATATAAGGAAATAATTTATACAACAAAATCATATTATTATTGAAGTAAAAAACCCTCTGAAAATTAATACGATTCTTTTTTATTCGAGATTGTTACAAAAGGCATCAATAAGAAACTATTATTAAAGATTAATATTTTAAATATTTTTATCATTATTGGCAAAAATAAATTTGTTAACCAATTACAGATACTTCCAGTGTGGGACGTAAACTATTACAAGCCTGCTTATTGTCAGGTGGAAGAGATAATATATATTTAGACAAAGAAGAACCGCAATCTAGGCCATTAACATTCGCAGCCAGTAAAACAAAAATAAAATGTCGATGTCATTTAAAATAAAAATTGAAATTTATTATATATATTTTACTACATAATATCTATCAAATATGTTATGTATGATTTAAGAGATTCTCACCAACATGCAATTTTTTACTGTGAGAAAGAGCGTTGCTGCGACTACTTGTAATTTTGAAGTGCTTTTTCTTGTGCCACCGCCATATGTGATAGGTAAATATCATTGTTTTTTAAACATATACATGTATTACATTTATTATGAAGGTGTAAGAATTGGTTCCGTTTTAATCGATACTAACAGTTTGAGAGAGTACTCTATGAATGGACTGACAGTAATAGTACGAAAAGAATACCCCAATCCCGGGATTCCCATAAAATATAGATTTTATATTCGAAACACGCAGATATCCACAATTCTTAATATAATTTTTGAGGTTTGTATTTAATAAATATACATTTTTTATATTAAAGATATCTTTCATTTTAAGGTTATAAGTTGAATGAATTATGATCTATATGTAATATTAAATAATATATTCTTTGCGTGAATTATATGATAAAAAAAAATTCTAATTACTAAATTAGTCATTTAAATTTTGCCTTAAAAATAATTTAGTGTAATAAATTTATCTGTTTAAATAATTTAACCTTCATATATTAATTGTAATTAATATTAAATAAATTCTCCTTAATTTTACGAAAGTTAACATTATTATTGTCTGATTTTGTCATATGATTATAATTTGCAATGATGTATTGCATATTTTAATTTAGTATCGCTTCGATATTCTAACTTTATTGATTATAAAAAATGACGAAAAGTGAATATATAATTTTCGGTTAAATACCAGTTATGCAATTAAATTTCTAGCTCGTTAAACATTGATATTTACTTAACTTAAGTTTTTATTAAATTTAATATTTTTGCAAAAAAGAAGGGTAATGTTTTTATTAGGTCATTATATTATTTAACCTAAACTATTTAGGAGTCAATTTGTATTAAGTGAATAAAATTAATGAGAAATAATTAATAAAAACTATTTATTTTTGTTAATAGTCACGAAAAGTATACATATTTATTTTTACCCTGTCATAAATGTTATTTAATAAATTTCGGATTTCTTAAAAGTAATGTTTATTTCTGACACAATTTCTACAAACCAGTTATAGAATTTTAATGATAACCATGATATAAATTCAATATATTGAAAAATTAATGACAAGAGAGGAAAAGTTTTGACCTGAGAATTGTTATGATCTCTCTATTAGTCGGTATTGGGGGGGAGGGGGTATTAGCCTGTAGAATGGGGGTTAGTCTGTGTAGAAAATTCGCTCGCCTCAAGAAGTTCACAATAATATTGATATGGAATGAATATATTATAAAACTAAAAATAATATGATTATTTGTATTAAGATATAAAACTTCTAAATTTTAATCATTTCGCAATATTTATATATAAATCTATGCCTCAAGTAAAACATTTTGTAAAAAAGTAATATAAATTGATTCGGTAAATACAAGTAATAATAAAAAGAAAAAGTAATGTAATAATATAATAAGTAAATTGATTATGTAAGCACAATTTGCTACTACTTTTTAAATACTTTAAGGCCATCTAATTTATTTTTTAAAATTAGGTTTGGAAATAAATATGTACACTCTTCGTGAAAATAAAAAAATAATTGGTTTGCATGATTGATATTTATTTTACTACTAAATTTTGGCTTTTAATAGTCTAACTCAAGTCAACTCCAAAGGCCTTACTATAAAAAAAGTGTAAATATTTTTATCAATATTCATTTGTATGACATATTTATATTGTATTAATTAAAGCTAAAATAACGTATGAAATTTTATATATATAAATAAGACTATAATTGGAAATCCTGTCAGAACTTTGGAAGGAACAATATTTTATGCAAATGGAATAATACCAGGAATTGCTCTTGAGAATGGCTTCACTAGTCCCAATACAAACCTTACCACTAAAATAGCTATAACTAAAACTAAAATAACTTCAACTGAAAAGAGAATACCTACAACTAAAATAGCTACTGGAAAAATCACAACCAAAATAACTACAGTAAATATGAGATATACTACTAAAACTAAGAGAAAAACCCGTCGAACCAGATCCCCTAGGACTACTAGAACACCCAGAACCACTAGAACTCCCAAAACAACCATAACTCCAACAACCATTAGAACCCCAAAAACTACTAGAACTCCAATAACTACTAGAACGCCCCAAACAACTAGAACACCTAAAACGACTAGAACCCACAAAACTACTAAAATCACTAAAATTGCTACTATACCAATTATTACTAGACCCAAAACTATTAGATCAGAATCGACTAGATCAAAAATTTCAACCCACAATACTACTAAAATCCACAAAACAACTAGAACCCGATCCCCAAAAACTACTAGAACCCCTACTACTACTACTAGAACTCCTTCTACTACTAGAACCCCTACTACTAGAACCCCTACTACTAGAACCCACAAAACTACTAAAACCACTAAAATTACTATTAAACCAAGTACTAGACCAAACACTATTAGATCAAAAACTACAACCCACAATATTACTAGAATCCACAAAACTACTAAAATTCGATCCCCAAAAACTACTGGAACCCCTTCTACTACTAGAAATCACAGAACTATTAAAACCACTAAAATTAATATTAAACCAAGTACTAGACCAAACACTATTAGATCAAAAACTACAACCCACAATATTACTAGAATCCACAAAACTACTAAAACCCGATCCCCAAAAACTACTAGAACCCCTTCTACTACTAGAACCCCTACTACTACTAGAACCCACAAAACTACTAAAACCACTAAAATTACGATTAAACCAAGTACCAGACCATACACTATTAGATCAAAAACTACAACCCACAACATTACTAGAATCCACAAAACTACTAAAACCCGATCCCCAAAAACTACTAGAACACCTTCTACTACTAGAACCCCTACTACTACTAGAACCCACAAAACTACTAAAACCACTAAAATTATTATTAAACCAAGTACCAGACCAAACACTATTAGATCAAAAACTACCCACAATATTACTAGAATCCACAAAACTACTAAAACCCGATCCCCAAAAACTACTAGAACCCCTTCTACTACTAGAACCCCTTATACTACTAGAACCCCTTCTACTACTAGAACTCACAGAACTATTAAAACCACTAAAATTAATATTAAACCAAGTACTAGACCAAACACTATTAGATCAAAAACTACAACCCACAATATTACTATAATCCACAAAACTACTAAAACCCGATCCCCAAAAACTACTAGAACCCCTTCTACTACTAGAACCCACAAAACTACTAAAACCACTAAAATTACGATTAAACCAAGTACCAGACCATACACTATTAGATCAAAAACTACAACCCACAATATTACTAGAATCCACAAAACTACTAAACCTCGATCCCCAAAAACTACTAGAACCCCTTCTACTACTAGAACGCCTACTACTACTAGAACCCACAAAACTACTAAAACCACTAAAATTACTATTAAACCAAGTACTAGACCAAACACTATTAGATCAAAAACTACAACCCACAATTGTACTAGAATCCACAAAACTACTAAAACCCGATCCCCAAAAACTACTAGAACCCCTTCTACTACTAGAACCCCTATTACTACTAGAACTTATAAAACTCATAAATCCCACATATCACGAAATCCTATAGTGTGGTAACTTAATTTCCAATACCAAATTTTAAATAGTACTTGACAACAAGCATCAATAAATTATATTAATTATATAACATTAACTTATATTCTAAATATTATAATAGACATAGACTAACTAAATTAATTAATATAATTTTGGTACAAAATATTAGCTTTGTAGAACAAGATAATTTTCATGTTTAGATAAATATAATCAAAAGACTGTAGGAATTTTAGACCCGGCGTGGATTTTATTTATAACTATTTAGATATTTTGGCTGTAGTTTACGAATTGTTTCATAAGGAACTTTAAAATATAAGCAGCAAGTGAATATTAAACGTTTATGATTTTTCAAATCATTAAATAAAAATTTTTTAAAAAAATTTGATCGGATCGGTCAAAATTTTTAACCCCGGCCCAGATTAAAATTAACTCTATTATTGGCCTCTTCCGAGCCTAATTTTTAATAAAATCTATTGTATATATATTTATTTAATTTATATTATTCATAAAAAGGCAATATTAATTATTTTTTTAAAAAATACCTATTTTAGCCATAAAAGATGAAACTCTTATTTTATGATAAAAATTACACAAACTACAATTAAATCAATTCAAAAACTTCTATCCACAAAATTTATTTTATTTAATGACCAAAAAAAATCACTCAAGGAAGTATATTGTTAGTATAGTAAAGATTTAATTTCATTACATGTATATTATAGCGGTTCTCTTTATTAACTAAATGATAAATAAAAAGGTTAAATTTCAGAAAAATGGAGAAATCCCTTTCCTCTGAGATATGCCTATGCTATTCCCTTAATAGGATTACACTCTATTAGCATAATATCATCTTTAGAATATAATTAAATGTTATATTTAAAGCTTATAAATGCTTGTTTTAATTTTTTTTTTAATATATAATATTTAAACTTTATTTCCAAATTTCAAATAATGAGCTATCTATGCTAATTCTATATTATGCAACTATCAAATATGATTATTAATCCTATAAATAAAACTAACTCTTGAAAACTACCCATTACCAACAATAACTTAAATTATCAACACTAACAACAACCAAAACCACAACAAATATTATCCTCTACTAAGCCCATATAGCTTAAACTACCATTTAAAAAGCAATAATCAAACGAAAACAACAACTCCTAAACTTATATCTAGAGTTAAAAAAACTCCCAATAAATAATTATAAATAAGGATAAGGACAAACCAAGTGTTCTAGCATTTGAACGATAATATAGATTATAAATTCACCGATTATTGATATGGAAATTATTTATTTTAAAATGTTTATTTTATTGTATTTAGTTTATTTTATCTCTTTTATAATTTAACGATCTATGTATTCCTTCTTTAGAAAATATAGATTATATTATATATATAATGTTCAATCTTTAATTTAAATCATAATATGAAAGATATAATTATAAAATTTCTTATAATCAATACAAATTATATAATGAAGAATTTACAAATGACAAAAATTTATATTATGATCATTTATACTTCGATCTATGTATTCCTTCTTTATTATAATAATTAACGTTTCATTTCCTTATTTATATAAATATACATATAAATTATCATGAAAAACATTTTAGAAAATATAGATTATATTATATTATATTATAATGTTCAATCTTTAATTTAAATCATAATATTATCAAGATATAATTATAACATTTCTAATAATCAATACAAATTATGTAATGAAGAATTTACAAATGACATATAAAATAATATTATGATCATTTACAATGTTGTGATTTATCTCTTTTCTATCTCTTATTATACCTTAATCATATGCCTAGCCGCGATTTTCAGAGAGAATGATGAGAAGTAAATCATAATTATGTAGAATTCTTCCCCATAAAATTTACTTAGGGATGGGGGATTTAGACTCACTTTTGCAGGTTCTTTGGTGGCTTTAATTTTTTTTAAGAAAAATATTAGTTAATGGTTATTTTAATAAATTTTTTAACTTTTATTTATTTCTTATAAATTGTGTTTATGGCAAAATATTCTATGCATCTTTGGAAGAGAGTGGAAGTAGAGGGAAGGGAGAGAGGGAGGGAAATTGAAGAATAATCTTTGCTAAAATAATATTTCTTCGAGCCATGCCCCCTGGATACACTTTTTATAAAAATAACTGACTACACATTAAGTCATTGATCTATCATCTAAGTTCCTTAAACTAATGAAAAATTATTTATATTAAAATAAAACATTTTTTTTACATTACTATAATAATTATAGTCCTTTTCTAAATTAGTATTGTTTTTCATTGGTTTTCAAAATGTGCATTTTTTTTCTAATTTAAAAATAATGGCATATAAAGATCAACCTAAATGCTCTATATTATCCAATCGATGAGCTTTTTGAGCCCCCATACCCCCTATCCCATTATTAATTACTATTCCCTTCGTATATTCCGTAGATAATAACTTAAATTATCCATACTCTACTTCCAACTATCAAAAAATAGTGAGTTTAAAGGAGTTATTTTTTTAGAACTTGAATTAGATTGAAAACCCCCTCATTAACAATGAATGCATTATTATAGTATATTCTTTGGCATGAATATGAGTTTGCTAATAGAATGTCTAACCCTATTAAATTACATTTAAAAAGATAGCAGAAAATTATGTAGAAATAAATTTTATTTAAAAAATTATGACATGCAATATATATATGGTCGTTTAGCAATATCATCTTATCATAATAAGTTAAATTATTCTTTATATCAATATTATTTGCCCTATATTATCTATAATTTTAATTGATGACATCCCAATAAATTTTCCTACTACTAGCCAAAAAAATGGAAGCAAACTGCATCTAACCCCAGCCAGTGGCCCCTACAACGGGGGGAAGGGGGTCCGAAGCAATTGCTTCTAGAAATTTATGTGGGGGTACTTTTTTTTAAAAAAAATTTTTTTTTAATTTTTTTAAATATTTTTTTTAAATTTAATTTTTTTTTTGTTTTGCTACATCCATCCATAATCAAGTGATCTCTAGTTTATGAATATAATAATAAGACCCCCCACCCCCCACTTATTATTTAATTTAATATGTATTGACCGAAATTTTAGTCGATGTTTAGTAAATTAGGTTGCTATCCAATATTTCTTGTCATAAAATTATTTTTCCAATTTCAAAATATGCCCAAAAATATTAACCAAAAAAAATACAAATGCTTAATTAAAAATTACACATCTCATAATACAAGAGGACAGACCATATTAGAAAAAGACATAGTGGGCTTAATTTTATTGATATAAAGAAAAGCTTTGTAATAGTAGCTTTTTCCCATATTACAATTTATAATACCCCAGAAAGAATGTGTGGACAATAACCGTTCTATTATAAGAATAATAATACGATGTCTAGGTTATTTAATATCTCGTAACCAAGCCTTCTGGGGAATAGACAACAAGAAGGCAATATGATGGGCCTTAATAAACTAATTGCAGATATGAACCTGTTGTCAAAATGTATTTACAACAAAATGAAGAAAGAAGAAGGGAGAAAAAAATTAAGGGATTAAAATCTAAATTATATTCAAATCTATTATCATATAATAACATAAATATTCTCATTGAAACCATGAAAAATATGATTATAAAAATAATTCAAAAGGAGATTGAATTTAACAGGTGCTTAGTAAGATTTATTGAAAATAGCGAGAGGCCTAACCCTGTTGAAAGACTGATAGACATATATTGTACAGGAAATATTTCGAAGGATATATGGTTTGCAATAAATCAAATTCAATTGGCAAAAGATTGCCTGATTAATTTGAGAAATATAATTTAAATTATTGTCTTTTATTATTTTCTAATCATAATTGATAATAATATTAAATTTTTGTATGTTTTTTCAAAAGCACAAGATTTTATGAAGGAGAGAAATCTACCTTTTCATTTTGAAAGTTCTAGACTTCAAACATTTCAATCCAAAAAATGAGAGGTATATACTTTCATCATTTTTATTTTAGCTTTAAAACCAGTGCTTTATGCTGCACTTGATTTTTGATTTGAACTATGCAGTTTAATGAAATATTTAATGATGAATCAATGAAATTGTTAAATCAAACATCATTTTTTACACCAAAGGGAATGGCGGAAAAGTCAATTGTTAATGATGATATCGAGGATATATATGAATTTTATCATTTAAATTCAAGTCAAATTTTTGAAGAAATGTTGAAGTTTCGACATATTTATAAGATGGCTAAAACAGGGGAGTAAATATTACTCGTGTAGAGGTTAAAGAATCTAAAATAGATTCTGAGAATTGTGAATTTATTTAACTAAAATATTTATACTAATACATTATTTAGCTTCTTCTTCTGATGATGATGATAATTCTTAGACTTATGATTCAGACTGGACAAACTATTTTTTTATTTTACCTTATCGTCTACTTTTAAATTTTTCTGCTTTCCCTAATTTAACAATTTTATATAAATATTTATTAACCATTCCTACTACCTCATGTACTGCCGAAAGGGTCATGAGTAAAATTAAATTAATTAAAACAAGATTTCGTAGTACCATCAATTTAACCACTTTATCAATGGAAAAAAATTTATTTAAACAATTAAATATTGATGAAATTATAAATTATTTCGCTTTCTCTTCCCCTAATTCAGCGTCTACATGACAGGATTTTCACTGGATGCAAACCCCCTTCAAAAACCTTTGCCTACCCCCCCCCCTAAAAATCGTCGCCTTCGGCGGCGGTGTCTCTTTATCATTATTTTTACCTATTTATTTATTGATATTTTTTTCAAAGAATTTATAAAGGATAACCTAAATTAATCTATATCTACTACCAACTATCTATATTTTGTGATTATAAATAGTTTATTTTTTAGATAATAAATTCAATTAAAACCTCCATTATTTACAATTAGTTATTATGACATTATGAGCTTGCTAAAATATCTAAACCTTTTAAATTACATTAAAAAGGATAGTTTATTTGGAAAACAATGTGTATGATTGTTTGCAATATATAGATTTGGTCGATGAATTGTATTATAATAATACTATAATAAAAGTATAATTTTTACAGCAATAAATTTTGTCCTACAAAATTTAATAGATAACCTCCCCCCCCCCCAAAAAAAAAAATTTATCCTACCCCCAATAAAGCAGCTTACCTCCTACCCCCTCAAAAAATAGGATGCAAACTGTTCCTACCCCTCATGCAATAAAAATTACTTTTGATGGGTGTCAAAAAAAAATTTTTTTCGAGGTGGGGAAGGTACTTTTCAGGGGGGTATACTGCTTCCATCCCTCAGAAAGTGTAGGGGCCACTGACCCCAGCCACTGCTCATGAAGTCGTTGTTCTTAATAAATTAATAACATTTTCTTATAACTTAACATTTAATTAACACCCATATAATAACATTGGTGGTTATCAAATTTAATTATAAACATTGTTGAATACTTTTTTTTTCACTGCATTAAAATTAATTATATAAATAATAACTACATTATATCGAAATAGACATATAATCAACAAAATAAGATTAAGCTTATGATTTATAAATATTTTTAAGATATAGATACATAAATATATACTAATTTTTAATGTTGACCTAATAAAATGGAGGAGGGGGAGTGCCAGAAAATTAAAAATGATTATAATATTTATTAAATAATAGCTAATTATTCAGTTTCTGTTAATGCGAGTAGTTGCAACTATATGTTTAGTGATACCACTTTTTCATTAATTGTTGTTTTTATAGTGTTATAGGTTTAGCATATATTTAGGTAGAATCTTTGCAGTTGGGTTTAGTAATCATAGTTTATGTTTTTTGTTATACTTTTATTTGATTTCTTCAACATTTGGTATAATTCCATTTACGTAAAAGATCGTACCTACTAAAACTCTTTCCGGATCGCCAACAATGGTCTAATTTTTTAACATAAAATAATGGGTTAAAAATATAAATGAATTTGATTTGATAATATAAACCATAAGGAACTGAAATAATTATGAACGCAACGTTTTCGACAGCTCACTCGTTAGTCATTATTTAATCAATGATAATATAAATAAAGACAGCCTCAATCTTTGATTGGACAAAATTTTTATAATTATTAAAGCTTTATAGAACGTATATTTTATTTAAAAATTATAGTTCTTAAATTATTATTTTAATATGCATTACTTTTTTTTGGCTATATTTTTTTTTATAAGTATAAAATTTAAAAAACATAGTTAAATCTATTTTCTTAATTATAGGATGAATCAAAATTATGGCGTTATGTTTAAAATTCGAGTTGAATATCATTAATTATCAGTTTATAATTTAGTATATAAAGATTTATTACATTTAATAATAATATTATTTTTTTTAGATCTGCATTAATTCTTTATTTTATAAAAAAAAAATATTAAGATATTTTATTTCAAAAAATAATTATTACAACTTCCAGGCTGTACCAAGCCTTTCTCTTTAAATGACACAACTCTGCTGAGATCAATAAAAAAAATTCTAAACCCAAATATTTTAAATAAATATTTTTAGGAGTGGACTTAGGAAAAATTTAATTTGATCATTTATTGACAAAGAAAATATTTTAGCATTTTTAACTCTTAGTTTATTTATTTTTATCAGTACAAACCTGAAAAGTTATGTTAAGAGCTGTAGATGTCTCGGAATTTCTAACATAAAATCTATAAATTTCATAAATTCCAATATTGGGCAATTCTTTCCGCACAATAACTATTAATCCATCTTTTGAATATTCTACCAATTTTTTTGTATCTATTAAGGTATCACCAATCTTTACACCTTCAAAGAATAAATTTTAAAGTATTTTTTTTTTAAAGTTCTGATATTTACCTATAACATATAACGGTGGTATTTTAAAAAGCATTTCAAAATTACAAACTGATGCAGCTACACGCTTCCGCACAGCAAAAAATTGTTTATCTGTTGGGATTTCTAAATTATTTTTTGTATACATATTGGTAAACATTTCCTGATCATTTTTTTAATCATATTTTATTTTATTCTATTCTATTCATTATTTTATTTCATTCTCTTTATTTTATTCTAATAATTTTACTATCTAAGAATGAAGATGGTACAGATTGCTCGATTTCTTCTTTCAATAATATTCTATCCTTTCCTCCCGACAATAAACAGTCTTGCAATAGTTTGCGACCCAAATTGGGAACACCTGCATCATTCAATATTGGTTAAAAATTTTATTGTATACAACTAAATAAATTAAAATAAATAAAAACTAATAATAATAATAATAATAACATTTTTAAAAAAAAAATAATATAATAATAATCCTAAAAAGTTATGACATTTTATCCACCCGCGTTTTTTTTCCAATTTCCGCACCTTTAATTTTTTTTTTCCATATCCGACCAATGTGCCGGATACAATTAAAAAATAGACCCAATAACTAGAATGTGCTAATCGCTATAAATTTCATGTGATTTAAAGAATAAAAATTGTTAGAATTCGATTTTTCTGCAACAAAGAACGAAGCTTAATAGAATAGTCTATGCAAGGTTATAGAGATGGGGGAGGGGGGGGGGGCAACTAGATTATTGGACCCTATTTTGTCCTTATGAGGGAGGGGGGTTGTAGCTACGCTATACACTAACAACATATTAATTGTTTTTGCTGCATATTTTTATCTTCTTTTTTTTTGAAATATGTTTTTTTTTATATACGTCTTATATTTATGATGCAAATTGTTGTTTATATATTTTTATATTGCAATTCACTGTTATGTTAATAAAATGGATATTAGACTATCTAGCCTCTTGTATCATTGGGATTTTGGTGTTAGTGTGGTTAAACTTAATTTACAAAAGGTGGGAGATGGAAGAGGAGTAAAAATTTATATGGATTAGGAAGTAAAGTTGTCAATATCTTGGGAAGGGGGGTATGAAAACTTCTGCAAGATTCAAATATAAATATAGCTATCGTGAAATGTTATATCCATTTAAAAACGAATACCCAAGTTATAAGGGTATCGCTGATCATTTTTTAGATGAAATATTTTTTTGTGTTTAACTTTATCAACACACAAGAAACGTTAAAATTAATGATTAATGATAGCTGAATAGGACTTAAAGACTTTAGGTTATTAAATAATAATAATAAAATAAATTGTTATTTCCACTCATCTTTTTAAACTTTAAATCATTTTTTTTTAAATTTGTATAATGATAAAAAATAATTTTTATATACCATGATTGAGACCCATTCCATAGTTGGTTGCTAAGGCCGTGAAACTTAGAAGACCCTAATTGAAAAATTAAGGTTTGGATTGCCATTATATTTTATATGAATTTTTTTACCAGAAAATTTGAATGCATTATAATATAAATTGTAATTTGATGATAAAATCAATCTATTTAAAATACTTATCTTTAACGAAGCCTTATATACCCTTTTCAAAAATTTTCATATTCCTTTCCAAAATTAGTAATTGGAATATTTCCCAACCTGAAAAGGTAGTTGGATTTGTTATACCTCAAGTTTATTCATATTTTCATAAAATTTTAAAACCATTTGGCATTGAGGTATGTTGGAACTTATTTATGTAATATGATACCTTATTTGAAAAATGTCTTTTTTTAAAATATATATTTATTAATGTAAAAGTTTTTATCATTTATTTGTAAAAACATTTTTTTTTCCATTTGGCATTAAAACATTTTGGAATGTTTTATCAGTAATATAATATTTATTGGGCTAAGGTTACATATAAAATTTCATAAATTTTAACGTAGATATATCTAAACAGTGGGGAAGAATGCCAAATTAGAAGTTATTTTAAAATAAATAATATATACAATGCGTGATTACCAAATGCGAATTTTTTGGTTAGATCTGCCAATGGGGAAGCAAAAATCAAAATAAATCGCATTTAAAATTTTTATATATTTAATATTTATATATATATATTTGGCATACTATAAATTAAGTAGTTCTGAAAATAAAGTAATTTTACCACACATAAACGTTAATGGTAATCTCATTTTAAAATTTATTTGTATATGATTATTATCATATATTACTTTTCTTCAGAAACATGGTGTATCTTTTTCAAACAGTATAGTTTTTCCTTTTCAATACTAATTAATTAATTAATTAATTAATCAATTAATCAATTAATCAATTGACACTAAGTTTTAAAAAAGAAAATTATATCTCCGATTAAATGCAACGCGAGTTAATTTTAGCATTATTTATCTATAAAACATTGTCCAAAAGAATAAATTAAAATGGCCCTATTAATCCTTACACATTTTTTTCGGAAGAGGATAGGGGAATTAGGGTTAACCTTATTTCACGATTTTGGGCGGTTTTTTTAAAAAAATTACATATGTTATATGTCGTTTTTGAAATGCGTTGGGATTACGAATCCCTAAATTCTATTCGAATTCCTCTCTTTTTTTAAATATTTTGTAGTATGTGAGTAGAACCAGGGAACCAAACCGGAAATCAATATCAGTTCGGTTTAGATAGATACATTATAACAGTTCAAGGTTTAGGTTCGGTTCTTATAAACGAATAATCATATTGGTTCGGTTCGGATCTTAAACCGGTTTGATCCCTCTTTTAATGCCAAAAGAAAGAAAGAAAGAAAGAAAGAAAGAAAGAAAGAAAGAAAGAAAGAAAGAAAGAAAGAAAGAAAGAAAGAAAGAAAGAAAGAAAGAAAGAAAGAAAGAAAGAAAGAAAGAAAGAAAGAAAGAAAGAAAGAAAGAAAGAAAGAAAGAAAGAAAGAAAGAAAGAAAGAAAGAAAGAAAGAAAGAAAGAAAGAAAGAAAGAAAGAAAGAAAAAGAGAAAGAAAGAAAGAAAGAAAGAAAGAAAGAAAGAAAGAAAGAAAGAAAGAAAGAAAGAAAGAAAGAAAGAAAGAAAGAAAGAAAGAAAGAAAGAAAGAAAGAAAGAAAGAAAGAAAGAAAGAAAGAGAAAGAAAGAAAGAAGAAAGAAGACTGCAATGGGTGGGTTTTAACCCGAACGTCCGTCTTCCATTGTTTTAAAAAATATCTAACTTATTTAAAAATTATTTTATTGGTTGGTTTGATTTCTTTATCTTAATCGTATCTTTAATTAAATTTATAATAATAGGCAATATTATGAAATAAAATACAGTTCTATTAATAAATAATCTATTCCGCTCATTCTGTAAAAATATTTCAAATTCACCCTCCCATTGTTTTTTACAAGCTTGTCAGTCCATAACAGATCATCGAATTGAGCTATACAATTAAAGTGATTTCTAGGTTCACCTCTGGAACCAATTTATAAATATTATTTTTTTTATTAAGATGGATTAAATTTTAATCTTCAAAAATATTTTATCTTACTTATTATGTTCAGTTAAAAAAAATATTATAAAGGATAATTATGAGAATGGGTATTAAATTGTTGTTAAACTAATTATTATGATTTTTGTTGATTTGAAAAATATTGGTATTGCCAAAAAAAATTCTTAATAATTATAATACAAAAAAAGAAAATAATCTAAATAGTAAAATATTTGGTAAAAATAATATTAAAATTTTTGTTGTAAAGATATTTCCTTTAAACTATCTTCCAGACTTGATAAACCACTATTCTGGGAATACTTCAAAGTTAGGAAAACTGTTAAAGATGTACCAAGAATTTATCTAATTTTTTTAATTATTGGAGAAAAAAACTTCAAAACTTAAAAAAAAAAATAATAATTTTATACAACATCTCCAAATAATATATGGTTTAAAAAAAATTAAAATCTTTCTCCTAATGAATAAGAACAAGTAACAACTCTTTTTTCAGAGTTTGCGTAACATGCACATGCTATAATAGATTATTTTACTTATATTAGAATAATAATACGATTTGTTATAAAATATTTCCCATTATATTTGTACCAACTTTCTTATAAAATTGTTTAACTTGTAATTATCGTAAAAAACAACATATTGCGAAAATTCTATGAAAAACAATTACAGCAAGATAAACAATTTTATAAGAAAGTTATTACAAATATATATGATAGTATTTTAACCCAAATCTTCCTTTATATTCTTTTTAGCTTCCACCTTTTTTGGTGGTAAGCTCCTACAATATCTCTCCCCACTTTATTACTAATGCTATATCTTTCTATCTAATTTATATTTCTGATATCCCACCGGAGTATTCCTCACACTGAAATATCAATATCGATAGATATTCAATCGGAGTATTCTTATCGATTCCATTAGCTTGATATTCCACCGGAGTATCAATCTCGATGGATCTCCCACCGGAGTATCGTTATCGAGTCCATTGTAGATTGGTAGACATTGTACTTGAACGGCCCCCGAGGTTACCACTATTTTAGACCTGGCCAAGAGATCGCTAGTCCTAGAATGGTCTTCAAGTTCAGCTGGCCATATTCCATTTGGTTTATTGGACAAGTATCCTAGCACTTGGCTGCCCAAGTCTGTCAGTGACTGGGGTGACATTTCTCAGCTAATTCATCTTATCATATGTCTTTACACATCAGTCATCGAAGAAAAACATCTAATTTTTACAGTTCTTTAACAGGATTAAATCTGGGACCTTCGGTTCTTAAGCATATATTATAAACCACTAGGCCACTATTAATATTTTAATTTTTAATATATTTCTTTTATCGGTACCGATGATTACACTTTAAGTGCATTGGTGCCAATATTGACCTTTTAAAGGAAATATCTGGTCGGTCGATCTTAATAAAATTGGCAAAATAATATGATTTATTTATATTTGTTATATAATAATTCAAACATAATAAAAATGGCAATAAATAAATGTGTGATCTTATAAATATTTACTCGCTTAATTTTTAATAAGCTCACAAATCATAATCTTAGTTTACAATACATATTTCCCAATTTTCCTGTTTAAAAAATTATAATAATCTTTATCTTTTTTTATATAAGCACAATAAGTTACATAAAACATTTTGTGAGGTTTTAGGTAGTATCTAGGTTAAGAAACAATATATATTTATAAAATAGATCCAGTTAGATGAAAATATAAAAAACATAAGATTCTGAAGAAAAAAAACGCTAGGATTCGATTGGGATTTGGAATCCGAGAATTCCTATAGCAATATAACATATATTATATATATTATATTTAAAATTACAACTATAATTGATATACTTAATATTTTGAATAAAAATACTACATTTTAAAATATTTATTAAGAACACATCTCCTATCAGTAATGTTGCTGTACAGGTTGTTTAATACTTTAAAATATTAAAAATGTATAAATCTTTCATCTTTGGGGAAAATTTTGTCAGGATTTTGTTTTGTTTTGTTTTGTTTTAAATTTAAATTTTAATTAAAAACTCATTAAATAATAAGCAAGTTGAAATATTTCAACAGTTGAAAATGTGAAACTGGAAAAACTTTTTAACCTTTTTAACTCATCTTTCTTTATCTATTATCTTGGCGCTAAGCTTAAAATATGGGTGAAGTATGGCGGTTAAGGTTATGTTAATTAATTTATATGTGCGGTTTTTAAATTAAAATGCTCACGTTTTGAAATTTAATCACAAAGATTTTATTAATTATTTGCATATTTTTATTTTACTTATTTTAAATTAATTGCATTTTTATAGGCGTTTGCTAATTGGGGCATTATAATGTTTTATTTTCATCACATCTGGCTAGCAAGCTGGAATCTGAAGAAATTTGTTCTAAAATAAATTGGTATCAAACAAGAATAATAAATTAAGTATACTTGTAATAGATACTAAGGATACTTTTGTTTGTAAAAGAATTGTACTTTCAAGTAAGCATAAAATATACTTTTCATCTTCATTGGAAACCAAATGTTATTTATTTCTCTTCTTGCCTGTATATAAGCCAATTATAAATAAAATTATATAATCAACTTATAAAAATAAATTAAATAATAACCAAATATAGTACTACCGATCCTTTTTCCATATTAATGATCATCGCTTGCTCTACTCTAACCTCGATGGAAGAATTTTTTAGAAAATAGGGGAGAAGGAGTAGCGATAAGACCTATTAACCCAAAGAATCTCTCTTTCAAAGACATTTACTAGAAAAAAATTTCTCTCTAACTATCTGAGCCTTGCCTCAAATTTTATTTTACTTACATTTTTCTTTCATAATTTACATGTACGAAATGAATTTGAATAAATATAATAAGTAAACACTTGATTTAGAAAGAAAGTATTAATATTTAATTATGATTTATTTAAAATAATATTGCAATTTGATCTTGACCTCTGAAATATTATTTTGACTTATATACCTAATAGAGAGACAAAAAAGTTCACATTCTGACTATATCAATGACATATATGTCATTGGACTATATATCGACCTACTCTTGGCATAAATCCATTATTTTGATTCGATATTTTGTCGCACTCATATGGAAATAAATTAAAATATGATATTATATTTAAGTTCTTTCTATTATAAGGTAAAAAATTATAATATATAGATACATATATATGGTTATGTATAGACTATTCCTAAATTGCGGAATGGGTTGAATTATAAAAGATATCATAAAGTAGTTTTATGATTTAATATGATAAATTAAATATAATTAAAGGTTGCCTTGAGTCATTTTGATCCAAAATCATTTATTGATTATGAAACTATGGTTACAAAATTGAAAATAATTAGAAAACGGTATTTAATTGATTTTATCATTCAATTTAAAAAGATTTGTATAGATTAAAATGTCCATTAACACTATCTGAAAAAATTTTATACTCTCATTTAGATGACCCTGAAAATCAAGTATTACTAAATTATATTTATATGATTAAAAAATAATTAAATATATATATAATTGGCCATTTTAACCCTTAGTTTACCAACTGGGTTTATTGATATTTAAAATGTATGTTACTTACACAATCTTTTAGGTTTATTTTCCCTATCTGAAATTTTTAAAGCCTATATATATATGTCATAGAATAACTAAAATTTTATCCAAAGGTTTCATCTAGAATATAATAAAATGATAACTCATTGCTAGTATTTTTAAACAGTTTATTTTTAGTCAATTTTATACATGGCTAATACAATATTTTAGCCAAAAAAATATTGCATAAGCATTAAGATTTTGATAATATATGTTTGAACCTCTGTTCCTTCTATGAACAAAATCTTCAGGCTTGCATTATATTTTTCTGGATAAAATATTGAGTTAGCTGTTTTTAAAAATCAGCTCAAATTGAGCCCTTTAACAACACTACTCACTGCTATCCAAAAGGATCCATTAACTCTGCTTAAATTTATAATATTTAAAATAATTTTTGTTAATGAGAAGATTATGTTATTTATATTTTATTGGAATAACTATAAGTTTTCTCCATCATTATGAATTATAAACTTTCATTGAATGATACAGTAAAAATAAAAATTTTGCATTATTTTATATATATAATACAATATGCAATATTCCAGACAATATTATTTGTTTTGTTTTAATTTATTTTATCCACTAAAAATACAAATATTTCATTATTAGCAATAAAATTTTCTAAGAAGTCAATGATTCTGGAAATACTGGATATGTCATAATGATTATCTGAAAGTTCTGATTCTCTAGAAGTTGAGAAAATTATAAAAAACATTGATCAAATCAAATTATTTGTATTCAAGAAAATAAAAAATAAACCTGTTATTCGTAAAAATCTAGAAATTTGCTGATTGAGAATGCAATTCCCAAGTATCTTTATTTTTTATATGATATTGCTTAAAGATATAGTGGACAAATTAGTCATTTTACCAATAAAGCCAAATAATTTTTATACATTAGACCAAAGGTCATATAAAAAATCAATTAACGATTATAAAAATAAGTACATATATATAAAAACAAACAACTGAATTAAATTTTAATGGAAAGGAAATTATTAAGAGATTGGTTTACTTGTACTATATGGAACCATGACAAATTCCGGAATGAAAATAAAAAAGAAAAAAAATTGAATTTTATATCTGCCATTCCAATTTCCTAAGATACACTCCTCTCTAGAGTGATATGTAGTGATGCAAAATCGCTCCATTCCAAAGACTCGAGATTTTGCCAACTAAACCTTTGTTCCACTTATAAGAAAAATCTTCAGGCTTGCATCGTCGTTTTTAAAATTGGGCTCAAAAGGAGCCATTTTGCACCATCAGTGATATTTGCCACCATTTTTTTAGTTTATTTTTTTAATTTTTTTTTCATATAATTTTTATTATATTCTTATTTGTTTTTTTTTTAAATAATATATTTTATTTTGATATCGTTTCATATTTTATTTTTGAATCCGATTTTTTTAAAAAATAAATTGTGGATTTATTTATTTAATCCTTTTTTAAAACAATTCTTTTAATTTTTTTTTAAAGTTAAAATAGATCTTATAAATTTATTTAAAATACTTTTCAAAATTTGTGGAAACAAAAAAAGCATCAATATGGGATAATGCTTATTTTGTAAAGAATAATTTTTATCAGTGGAAGTGGTTCCCGTTCTAAATCGCTAAAACAAAAATCGCTAAAATGGAAGAAATATCATCCAAATTCCCAATTTGATTCCCAAAACTGGGATTTTGGATGATATTTCTTCCATTTTAGCGATTTTTTTAAAATTTTCAATTTAAATACAAGCATTTAATCCCCTAGTATCTATTAATATTAATTTCAAATTTACTTCAAAAATTTTCTAGGAGATATAAGCCAGGTTCCCAATTTTTAGCGATTTAGAACCTATCCCGTGGAAGGTAGAATAAGTAACTTTATTATAAGTATCGGTAGTATTTGCAGATAAAGATGGCATCGAGGCATCTTTGAACTAGAGTCCTGCAAGCGCAAGCTGGTTCGGTCCAAACCTTTATTTATTTATTTTTAGTCCACCCCGGTTTAATTTTTTTTTAATGCTAATTTTAGGCAAAAAATACAAAATTAAGCCATATTTGTCATGAAAGTTAAATAAGATATCTTTACAAAAAAAATTGTTTCAAATTCCGGAGGAAGCTGTATTTTTTTAAGGGAACTTTTTAAATAACCACGCCTGATTTTTCTTTCAACATTTAAACTCCGGCTCGGCTTTGTTTATTAAATTTTAGGTCCGGCTCCCTTGCCTCTCCCGACTCGGGGAGCTCCGGGCCGACTGGTAGAACTCTCATCTGACAATTATGATATAAATACGAATTCCTTTCTATAAAAGTGCCACGTTTGTTAACTTATTTCCATCTATTCTATTCAATATTTTCCTTTCCCAAACACGCGACTCGGTATTGTTTTACAAACTTTCACTGATTGAAGATGCATTCTATAATTAAACACCATTTTTTTTGTTTATTTATTAGAAATGATATTTAGATGATTATCAAAAATAATCTTTATTTTTTGCAAATATTTGCCTAACCGCCCCGTTTATAGGCTGCGCGATTCTCTCTAGCGACTCGAAATTTTTCGCAGCGCAATTTACGAAAGCGAGGCAATAGGTATAAATACCGAGGCGAAATTACGAAATCGCGACAGAGAGTATTATATCTGTGACGAATCAGCTGTGATTTCGCTCGAGCCAATTCGCGCTTACTAATCGGAATAGGATTAATGACCATTATATTATTATTTTTTTAAAAAAAAAAGGTCAATATGTCATTTTTTCAACTTTAAATCATTTCTTGAGCACGTTTTTTTTAAATTTAACAATCGGATTCTACCGGAAATGTATTTCATCATGTTTAGAAGACCTACCCTATCAAATACAGACAATTTTGCCATGAATTGAACTTAATGTAATTTATATTAATTTTTTCATAGATAATTTTTTATATATAAATTATAAATGATTCAAAGGTTAACGACAACATTGTCTACAAGTCATAAGATAGGTATTCTAAACATGTTAGATTACATTTCCGGTAAAATCGGATTTTAAATTTTGTTTAAAAAAACGCGCTCAAAAAAAATGATTTTTAAAGTTGAATAAATAACGATTTGCCGGGAAAAGGGCATTTGACGCTAACATAATATAGTAAAGTAAATTTACGGCATTACATTATCATATAATCACTATTGCCTTTTATAAACTATTCATGGGCAAACGATTACAATTCGTCAGTTAGAAAATAAGTAAATTTGCTTTCGTATCTTATTCAGTTGACACTTTTAAAACATGACATCTTGAATGTGAGCTTATGTTATTATCTAAAATTTTGAATTTGAGATCGGGCCAAAAGCTGACAAATATTTTGATTAAATTTTAAATTTAAGGCAGAGTTTTTTTAAAAAAAATAATATTTTTAGTTATGAGCAATGATATATAATAATACCTAGAGACGATACATTCGTAATAATGCAGTCGAAAGCGTCTTTGAATGCAAATCAGCTGGACCCGCCATTTTGGTAATCCATAGTAATTGTTCTCACGTTAAAAACTACTACTAACTTGATAACTCTCTTCCTTATTATCTCCATGATCGGGCAATTCTTTAATAAAGTTTGCGTCAGACATAGGAATAAATTGGCCTCTCGTTTTAAAATTTTTAATATGATACGGGTAATTAAAATGGCGTCCACAGCTGTTTTTCATTGATATACACCTTTAATGTATACATCATCAGTCTAGGTATTATTGTATGTCATTGATGAGCGAGTTTAATCAACCCTGCTTGCCGTTGATTAATTTTTTTAGCCACACGCCCACTTATGATTTTTTTTTTTAAAAAACCTCACCACCCATTTTCTTTATTAAAATTTATTTGATTGATTGGTTTGGCAAATTTATTTAAATACATTTTTTAACTGCTAGCCCACCCAATCCTTGCATTGTTTTTAACTTGCCCATTGCACTAAATGTGCTTACCTTTCTGACCACCCGGAAAGGCATAACTACTTCGCGCTGTTTGGAATTATAATTATTAAGTCTAGGTTGGCCCATTTCCGGGAAAAATATAATTTAATAATTGTGCCAATATTAGCCAATCGAGTTTAATCTTTAAATGTGGTCGATTTAAGCCACTCCCTTTTCTAGATGTTTAAATAACCCCCTTTTAGATCTCCAGACATTTGCGGAAAACTGTGGCCATTTTTCTCTCTCTAAATGTAATGGGTAATAGGGACTGCATTCTCACTTAATTTTTTTTCTTATAAATTTAAAACCCGATTATCTCTGTCAAACGTTATTACGTGTGTAGGAAATCGCCCGTGGTAAAAGTTATTTAGCCCTTCGGCCGGATCGCGTAGCCATGCAAGATGCCACTGCTCAAATGGCCATGATGCAGTTCATATCAAGCGGACTGGCTCGAGTTCAGGTCCCGTCCACCATCCATTGCGACCATTTAATCGAAGCCACGACCCACGGCGGTCCTAGCGATCTGAGTAAAGCTAAGGTAATGATTATGCTCGTTATTTATTTTATTAATTTTATGGTCTGGATTGAATCAATCCAATAACAAGAACCGGAAACCTAAAAATTTATAGTAACCGAAACCAGAATCCATTTTGAAATTTCCTTGAACCGCAGCACCGTGCCTAACGAAAGCGCAACGTATTCACATTTCTAAGGAGAGTTTGAATCGGAAGGAATCCTTGGAACCTCGTTAATTCTAAGTTATAAAAAGCCGTATCATTTTTTTTTGTAAAACGAAATTCTAAAATTTATCGGTCTTTTCCAGGTTCAAACTCTGCTTGCAATAAAATTAAATTTATGCGAAAAAAAATGGATGGTTTTGTTGTTAAATCTTGTGTTCTTGAACTTCCAAAACAAATTTTAAAACTTTAATTTCATTTTATTAACAATGAAAAATGGTCTGATCTGTCTGAGATGATAACAAATTTTATCATTTATAAATAATAATCACATATATTATTTTTATAAATATAAAATAACATACGATTTTAATGATTAACTATTTATGAAAATTTAAATCGTAATAAAAAATTAATAATTTTATCACATCTTTCGCCAGCAACAAAATGAGGAAGTTTATCATTTTTTATCGTCTGCGGGTAGCAAATATGGCGTTGGATTTTGGAAACCTGGAAGTGGCATTATTCATCAAGTTTCTTTATTCATTTATATTATAAATTTTTTGTAAATGGCATTATTAATTCAAATCAAAAATGAGCATAAAAATAAGAATGTTAGTTTTTAATAAGTTTTCTGACGGTAATTAATAATGTTTCGGGAGCTTGTAACCTTTTAAGCATTAGATTCTATATTGACTAATCCACATTACCCCTCCATTCATAGTTAGCAATTAGGACTAAAGCCACACTAAACGCGTTATGCTCAAGCGTTTCGTTATTTAACGATGCAGCCTTATTACAAAATCAAGCAGTAATAAATACGTATAATTTATAGACATAGAGCGTTATGATAATAACGCCATGAGAAAATTTTAAAAATTTATTTTGCTATGCGTTGATAAGAAAATATGCAACGGGAATTGAGAAATGTATAGCGTTAGAACACCTGTTTGAGTTATTTCAAAAAATATTAAGGTTTAACGTTACGAAAAATCAGCTGTGATTTCGATAGCGTTAAATAACGCAACGCTCAAAGATAACGCGTTTACTATACACTGAGCGTAACTGAATGAGGGGATAGGCGATGTCGATGCTAACTTTTTAAAATAGACAACAATAGGCTTTGTTAAATGCAAGGAACAGAACTTCATTAGAAAACTAAATGCTATGACTTTACAAATTAGTGTTTTATAACATCCTAAAGGGAACTCGCTCTTTTTTTAAAAAAAAATGTAATTCTAACGAAAATTTGGCGAAAAGTCGAAATTTTTGAGGACTTGAGATCCTGCTGGCCCCCTAACGGCGCTACTGACATCAGATCTTTATAACTTATGTATTTCTCATGAAATCAAAATATTTTATTTTTAATAATTTTTTGCCAGATTATATTAGAAAATTACGCGTTTCCGGGTGTACTATTGATTGGAACGGATAGCCATACCCCCAACGGAGGTTAATTTTGATCATTTTCTATGATTTGCCTTTTTTATCGAGTACAAGTATAACTATTAACATTTTGAAATAAAATTATTTTTATGCGAATACGTATTTTAAAAAAATTAACTTCCATTGTACGCGTCCATAATAAAAACTTAGCAATTTCAAAGTGTGGCTGGTCGTAGTGAATTGTTAACCTTACCCGTTCGGGCTTTCATTATCCAAAAGAAGTGAACGTCCAAATTCAGATCGAGTTTTTACACCAAATGGAATCTAGTTATTTGGTGAGCCAAATCGGTCTGTAGGACTGTGAAACGGTCTGAACCACGCTAGATATATGGATTAAAAATTCCCCCTTATTTTAATGAGGGGCGGGGAGGAGGGGGTGAAATACATATTCTTTTTGTGTCTATTAAAGAAGATTTAATCACGCCTATAATTTTATGATATACTATAGGAGGATTGGGCGGTTTATGTATCGGTGTTGGCGGTGCCGACGCGGTTGACGTTATGGCCTCTCTACCCTGGGAACTCAAATGTCCAAATGTAAGATTTTAAATTTCAAATAATAAAACGAACAAAAAAAAGGTCCATTTGTTATTTACTTTTTATTTTATATTACAAAGACATGAACGCGCTTTACTAATTTTTTTTATAGGTGATTGGCGTTAAATTGACAGGCAAATTAAGGGATTGGACATCTTCCAAAGGTAGTACGCTTATATATATATTTAATCCATTACCTGTGGCTGATACTCAAAAATGTTAATTGACATAAAATTCATATTTTTAAAAAAAGTAATTTTAAAGTCATAATTTATAAAAACGTGGTAACAAAATAATGGATTTATCTCAGAATCAGAAGAATCTTTAAAAATCTGCTCAAATATACCAACAGTATTTTTATGAGATTATAATTAATACATTTCCCAAATAAAGATCTTAAAAAAAAAAAAATTACATTCGCTCAAAGACGTAATACTAAAAGTAGCGGGTATTTTGACTGTCAAAGGTGGAACTGGCGCCATAATCGAATATTTCGGACCGGGTGTAGATTCCATATCTTGCACGGGTATGGGTACCATATGTAATATGGGTGCAGAAATTGGGGCTACCACGTCGGTATTCCCTTATAACGTTTCCATGAAAAGATATTTAGATGCCACAAAGAGAAAAGGTTAGAAATAATTTATAAAAATAGTTATTAAGATTGTATTTGTTATATAACTTTAGAGGAGTGAGGTAAGAGAGGGGTGGGGGGGGTTTCCGCCTAATAAAATCCATTTTTTTGTGTGGATGTTTAAATTAGGTGTTTTTGGATGCGTTATTTAATAACTATATATAAAAATTTATAATATTATAAATTATATTAAAATACGTTGAACCTGATTTATATTAATAAAAACATTTTTGATGCGTTTTCGCCACTAAATTTATTTTATTCTTATAAATTGGCATACTTTTAAGATATCGGAGATCTAGCAGACCAGTACAAGGATCTTCTAGTTCCGGATAAGGATTGCCATTATGACAGGGTCATCGAAATTGATTTAGACCAGGTTGATTTTATTTTTTTAAAAAAAATTTTGACAGCATCACGATTATTTATTTTTTTATAGCTAGGACCTCATGTAAATGGTCCCTTTACGCCAGATCTAGCTCACCCGATTGCGAAACTGAAAGACGCGGCCATAAAGAACAATTGGCCTTTAGAAATTAAAGTTGGTAAGTTCGTTCTCGATAACTACCTTAGTTTTAATAAATATATATAGAAACTGGAAATTTAAGAACTCGATTTATATTTCGGTGAGACCTGCAGGGAAAATAATATCAGGTTTAGTGGGTAAATAAAATATTATAGCTATAATTTTTCAAAATTTTAGCTTAATTTTGTTAATTTTACAACTTAGCCACCACTGACTGCTTTTATTTTCCCGTCCGATATGGGGCTAAAGTTAGCCAATCCAGGTCGGACCTGAGTATCTGATATTTATTTAATATACTGAATTACCATTACTGCACCTGCATTATTTCCACACTATTAACTCTATTTCTGATTTTTTACTAAAAATTTATCACCTTGATTCATAGAGTGTTTACCAGTTCAAAATTATTTTATAAATTTTTATCCTATTCGATTTAATTTTTATACCGAACACGCGCATCTTAGGTCTGATAGGCAGCTGCACCAACTCTAGTTACGAGGACATGGAACGGGCCGCCAGCGTAGCTCGAGAGGCCTTATCTCACGGCTTGAAATCCAAATCGGCTTTTACGGTCACACCAGGCTCCGAGCAGATCAGGGCAACCATAGAAAGGGATGGGCAGGTAATGTAAACAAATTTGTAGATATCTAAAAGCTTATAAAATTAGATAATATCATATGTTCCTTTTTTTAGAACGAGTCAGTAAAAGAAATCGAGAAATAGACGAATAAAGACGTCGATAGAACGGGGTGGGGAAAAGGAGGGGGGGGGGTGGTATTAAAATAAATTTTGCCTTATCAGAGTTACCGTAAATAGACATAGAGCGGGATTGGCTCAAACGTTTTAGATCGGCATCGTTTAATCCCAAATTTCAGGAGAGAAATAATTATTATGTATTATAGAAATATTTAATTAAAACAAAACTAGGCGGATATTTTTAGAGAATTTGGCGGAGTTGTTTTAGCTAATGCCTGTGGCCCGTGCATAGGACAATGGGATAGGTATTATTGCTACTTATATGTATAAACACGAGTAATTGCATCCTTTTTTTTACTTCTTCCCATAGCAATTAATATTTTTTATGATTTTAAAGGCAAGACGTTAAAAAAGGCGAGAAAAACACAATAGTCAGTTCCTACAACCGTAATTTCACTGGCCGTAACGACGGAAATCCCGGTACACACGCTTTCGTTACATCCCCCGAACTTGTAGTCGCGATGAGCATAGAAGGGAGACTCGATTTCGATCCCGTTAACCAAGAGCTCACGGACAAAGACGGTTTTCTTTTTAGTATTTGGATATTGAGAAATAAAGGGTAGACATAGTTTCGGGGTTCTAGACTGGAACTCCCAAAATCTCCTAATTAATCTTAGATTAAAAAATTCTGAAAAAAATAAAGGCAAAAAGTTTAAACTCTCAAGTCCGCACGGGAACGAATTACCGGTTCGCGGATTTGACCCTGGCGTGGACACATACCAAAAACCGCCCAGCGATGGCTCTGGCGTCAAGTTGGAAGTCGACTCCAAAAGTCAAAGACTTCAATTGCTGACACCTTTCAAGCCTTGGGACGGCAAGGATATCATCGACGCTCTCATACTTATCAAGGTTAAACATAATAATAAATATGAAAAAAAAATTGTAAGATAAACCTAGTAAGAGACTTCATCTTAATCATGTTAAAAGTCTAAGAAAACTCAATAAATCATAGCCATTTTTGAGTAATTAAAAATATATTATATATATTGATTACATTAATTGTCTATAAAATACGACGACAGCAATCTTTAAATTGTTTAATATTTTTTAAGATTAAAGGTAAATGCACAACCGATCATATCAGCGCCGCTGGACCGTGGCTTAAATACAGGGGCCATTTGGACAATATCTCAAATAACATGTTCATTGGGTATTAATCGATAATTATTAATTAATAATATATTTATCCTCTTGAAAATGTGAACCTTATCTATCTTATTCAAAATTCAAAATTTCCTTCAATTAATCACGTTGCGGGCTGAAAAGCCTTAATTGTTATTTAAATTTCATTCAATTATCCTTACAATGATTCTAATAATTTGAATTACAATCGAATATTTTATTTTAAAAAATTTTTTTTTATATATATTTCCCATATAAAGTGCCATCAATATAGTCAACGATAAAGCGAATAGCATTAAGAATCAGCTGACAGGCGAATTCGACGCGGTTCCAGCCACGGCTCGTTACTATAAAGTCAGATTTTTCTTAAAAAGCAAAAAAAAATTATATATAATTAGACCTGTGCGTCGACGAATGGGCATAAATTATTAGATCTTTATTGGAAAGAAAGCAGATTATAAAGGCAAACTCACTTTTGTAATTTTTTTAGTCAATCGTGTGTTTAGATAAATTTATTTAAATTTGCCGGACATAAAAATGATCTCCTTGAATTTAATATCAACCCAGCTATAGAGAAACCCCTTAAAACAGAGTTTTTTTGGTTAGCATGGAAATATTGGGAAGTTTGATCTTCTTTTGTCTTTAAAAATTTAGAAAATCCATATCCTTTGAATGACATTTTTTGAGGAATATAGCATTCTTGTTCTATCACTTAAAGTGGAATCATAAATTGCTTTGTATGTTTAATTGCCAACCTCGTCATATAATTTGTATTTGTGGTTTTCAATCTCTATATTTATTAATCTAATATCATTATTATTTTAAGATGTTAAATAATATATTCCAACGATATGCTATTTTTATTAGATATTTTATTACAATTTTAATTTTTGAAATTTTAGGTTTAGAATAGAAGTCAACACCTATATAAATTTTGAAATAAATAATAATAAGATCGCAAGCAGGAAATGAAATAATTGTCGAGCTATCATTATCATTTACTATTAAATGTGTTTTTATTTCCTTAAAGTAATGCCAAGTTCAATGTTGCCCCATTTAGTGAAGATAAAAATTCTACTGTTTCTTTAAATTTCGAATGGAAAATTGTTTTGAGATAATGCTTTCTACTTTTTTTTTCAAAACATGATTAATTTGATTTTTTATTAGTTAGCTCAGATATGCATTTTAGCACAATTAATACACTGTCATCGGTTAGGACATTTAATTTTAATGTTCTCATTTGATTGGCATTATTGTTATTATTCAATTTGAAACGGGTATCAGTGCTGTCACGATCTATCATATCCGATGTTGGATCTAATCACATTATACAGTTACAACAATGATGTTGACTTATCATTAGAATAAAAATGTATTAAAACATGAAAATTATTTTAAAAGAATTTATGAGTCGGGCGTGCGCCACCGTTTTGAATATCGGCGGCATTTTTAGCATGATCAGAACGGCGGCCGGTTTGACACACAGGTCGATATATAACATTTGTTTCGTGCTATCTGAAATTTTGATATCAGATTTTCTAAAAATAATCTGATTGGCCTGCGTACATTAATTCTACCTCGCCCATTTAGTGATATATAAGCTAGACCCTACATCGGACATAAGGAGCAAATGAAAAATATTTTAAAAAAAAATAATTCCTTGCCCGGCCTATGAAGAGAATGCCGTTCAATACTGCATTGGGATCTAGTGTATCATATTATACTTCACGATATTTATATCTTACCAACCTACTTTATGCTTAAAAAAATCGAATTTGTTCTAAAAAAATGGATGGTGCATTTTAACAGATGTAACTGAAGAGATAATATTTTATATATATTTTATTTATTATTTTTATAAAAGAAAACTATCTTAAATAATTATCAAAAATTTTTTTTTAAAAAAAAGGCTCACAATGTTAACTGGGTGGTTGTAGGCGACGAAAATTACGGCGAGGGAAGTTCTCGAGAACACGCGGCTTTGGAGCCTAGACATCTGGGTGGGCGAGCTATCATAGTCAAGAGTTTTGCCAGAATTCATGGTTTATATTGTATATTTTCTTTATTCCAACATAATTTGAACCCCTCTTCACTCCGTTATCGTCGAATAGGAAATATTTTCTTATTTTTTATATCTTCAATATAACATCATTCTATTCCCAAAAGTTTTATATAAAGGTTTTCCATTATATAATTATATGGCGCTTTTTTTGCCATAAGTATTATGAGAATTAAAGAGGGATAAGAAAGTGTTCTCAAGGAAAAAACGTGATTCCCTTCATAGATTTTCGAATGGCATTCGTGCTTTAATAATAGTGAGCTTTAAGGGCTTTCTAGGGAACCAGTATAAAAATCTTAACGGTCCGGGTCATACCATGCTCTCCTCTAAAAGATACAATGTATGTATACAATTTAACATAATTTATTTTTTTACTTTAAATTAGATTATTATATATATATATATATTTAGCGTCAATATATTTTTCCCGGTTATGTGTTATTTTTTAACTTTCAGTCATTTTTTGAGCGCTTTTTAAAAAAATTTAAAAAATCTAATTTTACCGGAAATGAATTTTACTATGTTTGGGAATACCAACTCTATGAATTTCGAACAATTTTTTTCATGAACTTTTAAACATAATTTAATTTATAAGATTTTCCATATATTTTTTATATAAATGGCTCTAAGGGTAGCAGCAAAATTGTCTTGAATTCATAAGATAGGTATTCCAAACATGATAGAATATATTTCCGGGTAAAATCCGATTTTAAAATTTAAAAAAACGCTCTTCAAGAAATGATATAAAGTTGTAAATATAACACATTGCCGGAAAAAAAGAGATTGACGCTAACATATACACATATGTATATTTATTTAATAGTTTAAGATACACATGCATTTTATAACACAAAATATTTTGCCAATAAAAAAAACATATCAGAAACTAATCTAAAAAAACAGGGTGTCCTACCTTTAACTTTTGACAAACCAGCTGATTATGATAAGGTACAACCATATGACAAAGTCTCCTTATTGGACTTGAAAAATTTAGCTCCAGGAAAAGTAACAATTTTTTCTTTCAATAATTATAGAAATTCTAAGCAAAATTTTTAAGCTATTTAGTTAAATTATTGTTAATTTCTATATGATTCTTTGTTATAATCCATATATTTGAATATAAATAATAATAGTTATTTTTTTAAATTATTGCAAAATTTATTAATATAAAAAATGATAATTTTATTACATTAGATAATCTCATCTAATATGAGATCATAATGGTCTTACCCACGTAAATTTTTCCATTTTATTTTCGAATTTAATGATTTAATTTTTTTTAAAAAAATTGTAGCCAGTTAAATGCGTTCTAAGTCATGCCGACGGTTCGAAAACAACTATTTACTTGAATCACACCATGAACGCGCAGCAGATTGAATGGTTCAAAGCCGGTAGCGCCCTCAATAAGATGTCTCAGCTATTTCGCGATATGAAAGAATCGAAACAATGAATATTTTATAGCTACCTAATCATATTTCGCAACTTTTCTTGTCTACTTTTTTTTTAAAAAATTCCATCTACAGAAATCCCTTGTTAGTTAAATATTTAATTTATTTTTTAAAAAAAATTTAATTCTGATTTTTAATCTCAACAAAACTTATAATTTCTTTTTTTAAACGCACAACAATGTTTAATATTTGTAAAGTATTATAATGTGATTTATATTTATTTATTTATTTTTTAACAAAAAAAAAACTCTAAATTCTTTGTGAAAAATATATGCGATTTTTAGACTCGTAAAAAACTCAATAATATAATAATCATTTTTTAACTTGTAAAAATTATGAGGCATTTGGAATGTTATTTAAATAAAATTATTAATATTTATTCTTTTTATCTCGGTTGTAGGAAGAGTTTGAAAAAAATTGTCATTTTCTTCTTGAAGTATCTTTTTTGTGCATGAAAAGTACAAAAGTTATACTTAAAAAAATTTTCACATTTTAAGATGAAATTTGATCAGAATTCAAAAAAAAATCTTCCAAACTCTAGTCGTAAAGTATATAATTTAGATTTTAGATATTTCAGATCCAACTAAAACATTTTAGCTTTTATTATTGTGACCTATTTAAGTTATTAATTTTATATAATAGGAAGCAATATACTCGAAAAATAGGATTTCGAACTGTGAAGTCGAAAGTTATAAATTTTCGAAGTGGTAGCTATAACCGAACCGTTATAAGAATTTTGAAAGGAACCCTTATACTTTCGAGATTATTACCGGTTTCTGAAATTTAAAAAAAAATAGTACAAAATTATATATGGATATGTTATACTTAATTTCGTTATTTCTTATTCATGTTTTTATAGTAACATAGAAAATGAAATTTATATTCTTGTTGGCGTATGGTCGGAAATGAATTCATTTTTGTTAATTTTTAATATGAATTTTTCGGATCATTATTGATTAAATAAAATAATATATTATTATTAATTTTTTTTTAAAAAAAATCCAAAAATTATGAGAATCGATATGAATTTGTTTCAACATAACCTGAAATGGAATTACACCGTTTTCAAATTTTAAATTAAAAAAAAATAAAGTATACAATGAAACGAAATAATTCATAAGAAATTAAATATGAATAAATATGTATTTATTAGTTATCAGATTAGATATATATTATTATACAAAAAAAAAGAATTTATTATATAAAATCTTTTAGAAATGAATTCTCTATGTTTTTAAACGGCTCGATTTGAGTAGATTTTTAAAAACGGCTAACTCAGTATTTTAGTTAGAAAATATTGACTAAAATCCTCGAGATTTCGCTAATGGATAAACTTTGTGCCAGATCAAAATCTTCAGGCTTGGGTAATGTTATTCTGGATAAAATATTGAGTTATCGGCTCAAAGAAGCCGTTTAACAAAGCTAATGAATTCCATTGATATTTAAAGAGATAACTTATGATTAGGGGGATGGTAAGGAGTAGGCAGATATGGTATTAGTTTATTTTCGTTAAAAATGGATCAAGTCTCAACATCTCTTGGGTAAAAAAAAAAATTCTTAGTAAAACTCGGGTTAGGGTATAATTGGGTGGTTGAATACTTGTATAAGATCCTTTTGTGTCTTGTAGTCATTATCTTTTAGAAAATTTTAATAAGAGACTTGTAACTGTATTTAAGATTTTTTGTTTTCAAGACTTTTTTTCATTTTCTTGACAATTTTTTTAATATATTTTTGTTTATAATATTTAGTGATCACATAAAACCTTATTTATTTTCGTGGATTATTTTATTGATTTCATTATTCTTTCTTTCCTAGCGTCACATTTAAAAAAAATACCAGTAAAATTTGCAGTACAACAATAATGAACTTGAAAATTTACAACTTACATCAAGATAAATAAATAACTACACCAAAATAATAAAAAATAAAGCATAGGGCATATTTTTGAAACATTAACAAAACAGAACAAATTATATATTTATATGTAGTTAAATCACATCTACAAAATTTTAAAAAAAAGTATAGCTCTCTTCCTACAATACTTTAGGACCTGTAATAAATTAATATATAGTTATTTTATTTTACCCTATACCCGGGGTATAGTGGCTTAGTAACAGGTTAAAGTGGTTAAAATAAAATTGAACATAATTATATTGTTTAATTGAACAAAATATTTCAATTTTGACATCTATTCATCAGTTTTATAGTAAAAACTAATCAATACAAATGTCATAATTTAAAAAATTATATCAACAAATAACACATTTTTGAATGTACCCATTTTAGGCACATCGTAATTGTGACGATTAAAATTACTAAATTTTGAATACTTTTGAGTCAAGACATTCACAAACATTTCGTTAATAATAAATAATTGTTAAAACTTTGTTAAAAGACCTTCATTTTTTGATAGTATACTTTATTTAATATCATGAAAAACACCAAATTAAGAACAAAGGAATTTTGACATATAATGTTTAAACCAATTTAAAGAGAGAAATTTTCGTATATAAATTATTTGATTTTATCTCATTGTTTTTTTTATGTAAGTTCCTAGGAACAATATATTTCCGTTCAGAGAATCGAAGATAAAATATAGGAAGGGTCTATTTGCATTGAATTCTTGGGGCATTGATAATTCCCTAGACGTCGCTATACCGGTAGAGGCTACACCCTCAGTTCCTATCTCATTCACTTCGATCATAGCTTTGTGAAATACTTCACTAATGAACAAATTATCGATGCTAGAATCATTGGATCCTGTTAAGCCGGTGAAATCCGCTATGCTCCTAACCATGAATTTTTGGTTGTCATAAAATATATTAATTAATAATAAAATTAAAACGCTTCTCCTTATTTATCGTATTAAAATTGATAAATTATTTTTTAAATATATACTTTACAAAATTACTCGAATAGACTTCGGAGGCCGAGATTTTTGAGGGTCCTAGAAAGAGTGACATCATAACTTGTTATGAAAATAGGCAAGGCAATATCGACCATAACGTTTTCCGCGATATTTATCAGTGAAGCGAAGGAAGCGGTAGATAAGACATTTATCAAATTTGTTAACCCCCTTTTCTCGGGGAGCACAAAAAACATGGCTAAATTCGGATTCATATATTGCATTTTGAGCACTTTGATCTTTTGATCTGGAACGGAAGTTGTTAAGGGTGCAATGTTTTTTAGACGAGTTTCGCCGTATTGTACTAACCTTATGTCATGCATCATTTTAATCTTTTCTACCTTTTTATCGTCTCTTATGAAAGACCTTTTGGCAGTGTTTCTTATATTGATGAATGATAAAGAATTATTCTTAAAAAATCAATAAAACAATCATTTAAACTAACTTTGGGTTAAAGGGCGATTCCCAATCACTTTTAAAGTAAATTGTATCAACTATGACAACTCTGGTGTCTGAATTAAGAGATCCGGGAGGTAGTAAGTCCCTTATTAACCCTTTCGTAGCCTTTGAAACATAGGAATTGATACTCTTAGCGGCTTCATATGATTTCATTTTGTAATTCATAGCCTGAACATGTGCCGCATAATATTTGGAAGCTTTTTGGGCGAATGCGGGGTCAATTTTGATACTTTCATCGGGATATATACCGTTAGATATCTCTACTGTCGAATTACCGTAGTGCTTAAGAGTTTGAGTAGCATTCAGTATGACTGAATGCAGAATTTCTTGATCCTTAGGAGTAATTTGGTTGGATCCGCGAAATAAATCTCGGTAATGCAAGGTATTTAACAATTCCTTAAACGTTTCTCCCCCTGCTCCAAGTAATAAAAGGCTCAATGCGTGACCAATACTGAACGGCGAAAATACCAAATTCTTTTGATTCGATACAGCTATAGGGCCTACATTTATATTTTGTAGAGATTTTAGTAACTCGAAGGTAAATTTTTGGTTAGCCTCCCCCAAAAGCTGTATTTCTAAAATGTTATTCGGAGCAGCCGTAGCATTACTTATACTAATTTCATCGCATTTGGATAAATATACGTTAAAAGCAGCTAAGAATACTATGAGATGTTATAGCAATAAAAATAATGAATGTATAATAATAACTTAAAATAAATTTTATATCATAATTCAGGAGGAAAAAAAAAATTTTTAATTATTCCACTCACCTATAGTCTCCAAGTGTTTTTTCATCTTCAAAATTAGGATTATTTTTGAAAAAAACAACAAAAAAACACAATTAAAATTTAGATACAAATTTATTAATTTTTTTTAAAAAAAAACATAAACATAATTTATAACATGTGTTTGTCAAATTTTAGCATTGTTATTTATAAATAACTTACACATTAAAATCACCGCTATTTCTTATCATTTAACCTTTATTCTTGAACATCTGGCATAATTCATCTTTCTCATTTAGAAGTCTAAAAGTGTCAAAAAATAATTTCCGATTTAGGCTTTATTTGAAAAAGTTGTATAAGAGTGTTCATGAAAATAAAATTTAATGTTGTTTATTACTTTTCTTTTAACGTCTTAAGCTCATCTGTAGATTATCATACTTATTTTGAAACAAGTTTTATCAATTTGCGGGATAATTATATAAGATTTTGGTTGATTAATATATTAAATATTGGCGTAGTTTTCCATCTAAGACATTATATTCTCTTGGATCTCTTTGCCTCTTGAGAAAAACGCCTATCAAATTTTCAAGGCTTTTTAAGTCCTTTAACGATATTTCCCATTTTTGTATGATAAGATAACGCATTTTTTGCGTTAATATACTCAAGGTTAAATATTCATTTTTTTTAAAAAAATGATTATTTTGCCTAAAATGTAAATATCTTTAATGATCGACAAAAAATGAAGATTTTACGCATAATAAGATGCGCATGTTGTTTGTTTGCGGTATAAAGATAGGGAAAACCCCAATACCGACTAAACAAAAGGATTGATAGATGAATGATGGATGAAGGGAGGGGGGGAGGGGGGGGTGGTTTAAATAGTTAATGTTTTTATTATTATTATCATCTTACCTTGTTGTATGAAATTAATTATAGCTTTTAATTTTCATTTATATAATAACCATTTTTTTTCCAAAAACATTTTTATTTATATCTTATTTTTAATGGGGGGAAAAAAATATATATTATTTTTAAAAATCCATGATTTGAACAAAAAAAAATCTCAAATGAACATTTTTCCATAAAACTTAGAATTTTGGACAAAAATTTATTCAAAAATCTAGCCTTGGGTTATAAGTCCAAAACCCTTTTATTTAAAAAAAATACTCGAATTATTCTAAAACTTTCAGAAGTTTTAAAATTTTAAGGAAATCGTCATGTTATAATTTTTTTATAATTTTTTTAAAATTTTTTTAGCATTATATTTTGGAAACATGTTTTTAATTTTATATTTAAAAAAAAAAGGTTATATTTTATTTTCTATAAAGTTTCAAAAAGTTTGTCTTTTTGATATTTTGAATTTAAGCCCTTTTTAATCATACTTTAAAAAAGAAATATTTTAAAGAACCTTCATTTTTTTCTATCTTTTCACATTGAATATTTTTAAGGAATATAAACTTCTTGAAATATGATATATTATTTCTGTCAACTGCCCGTAAGTTTTTTTTAAAATGTTTAAATGGCGATTGTAAGGACATTAAAAATGTAAAACACATTTTTTAAATGATTTGATTTTAGACCGAATAAAATGTTTTGAATGATACCTTTGAGAGTAGTTCGAAATTTAGTTGTAACACAAATTTCTTTGTTCCACGAGGGCAAAAATAAAGTAATGAAATTTAACTTTACTTTTTTTAAAAAAAAGGTTTTTAAGTGTGGTAAAACACGAAATTAATGGCGCCAAAATTACTTCTAAATAAAAAAAAAAATTTATAACAACTTGATTTTTAGACCGGACAAATAGAAAATGTTTTAGGGTAGCAGCAAACGAGTTGTGTTAAGATGGGGATTTTTTCTTTATTCCACTAGAAAAATAGTTAAAAAAATTTTTAAAAACATTAAATCCTTTTTATCCATCACAAAAAATAATAATCGAGGGAAAATTCGTCTCAAAGAAATTCCCTCAATTTTTTTTTTCCTGAAAAGGCAGTAATGGTTATATAAAAATTATTAGGGGAAATTCTGGACTCGAGGTGGATAGACGCATCCTTGATAGCGTTCCCGCCATGGGGTGTCAACATCATTAACTGAGAGTAGGGTAGGGGACAAGCGTTAATTATAGATATCGCATGTAATATATATATTATTAAATTTGATAAATGTAAATCTATGAATGAATTAAAAGCTTCCACAGGGAGTAGAGTGACTAACAAAAAATAACATTTTCTAACCTTGCAAATTGGCCTTTTATTGTATTAAAAAATAATTTATTCTTTATATAACTATAAACAAAAAAATTAAATTAGGAAACAATTAATTTTTTATTTTTGTATAAAATGTTTATTTAAAAAATGTTTTAAACAAATAATTATAATATATTGTTATGGTGATATATAATGGATAAGGAATAATCAACTGAAGGAGATTTCTTTTTTAATAAGATGAAATATAATTAAAATTTAACAAGTATATCTGATGTAAGAAGTAGGATTATAAAGGTTAGAGAGATTTGGGTTCGGTTAATTAAAGGTTTGAGCGATATAGATTTGGGAGGGGGGGGGGGGGGTGAATAAGATATATTGAAGATTAGTTTTTTTCCTAATCTGATGTGAAATGAAATAGAAGAATAGCAAATTAAATAAATCAGTTGTTGTAACTTCGATTTTCCTTGATATAATAAAAATAATGTTGTAGCTATTTATCTATAAAAAAAAATTTATATCATCGTTATCCCTTTATGTAGGTTCCGAAGAATAAGATATTTCCACTCAGCGAATCCAGTATGAAATACAAGAAGGGTCTATCTGCAATAAATTTTTGGGTTGAGGGTAGGTATCTAGATGATGTTAACATCACTGCACCAGTATCAGCTATTGCCTTAGTCCCTCTCTCCGTCACTTCGATAGAAGCCTTGTGAAATACTTCGCCGAGATACAAATTATCGGATTTATGAGATCTAATTAACCCCGTAAAATTCGTCATGTCCCTAATTTTTATATTTTAAAAAAAATAATAATAATATAGATAAAAAATGATTAATTTAAATAAAATTAAAACGGTGATTTTTTATTTGAATTAATGTGACTAAAAGGCTATATTATATTTAATTAAAAGTGGACATTTAAAAAAATTTTAAGTTCCACATTCCACTAAAAAAAAATTAAATTTAAAAATGGAGCAAAATTACAAAGATTTAGAGTTTTAAAAACTTTTAAATTATAGGGCCAGATAGAGGCGTATTGCCCATAAAGACTTCTTTCTTTCTTTCTTTCTTTCTTTCTTTCTTTCTTTCTTTCTTTCTTTCTTTCTTTCTTTCTTTCTTTCTTTCATAAAACGATCCGAACCGGCTCGAAAAAAATTTGATTCAAAAATCCGGTCCGGGTTTAAAAAAAAATTTTTTTTAATTTAAAATTAAAAATAAATTAAAATTTTATAAATTTATTAGTTAGAAAATGTTAAAAAAAAGCATATAATAAACCATCTATTTTACTGATCATATTTCCAATTCCCCTTTGAAACAAAATTTGCAAAATACAGTTAAACTGTTTAAAAATAACGAAATTTATAAAATTCTGTTGTCGGGTGAGAAAATGATCAAAAATAAAAATACGCATGGATCAAAGATATATATTTTAAAAAAAAAATCGCGAGTCGGGCTCGGCTTGAAAATATTTTTTATTAAAAAAAAATCCGGACTGGGCCCTAAGATTTTAACCCTATATGGGTTATCACTTATGCCCCGGGCTGAAAAATAAATATTCGAAAACCTGGGGCAAGCCCAACCACCGATTGCCGGTCCCATAAAAGTTATTTGCCAAAAATTATTGAACTGAATTACTGATAAATTCTTATATGATAATCTATAAAGTATAATGTTTTTAATTAACCAACTCCTGCCAATAATAATAAATAATCGTTTATTTTTTGTGTTCATCTACATATATTTTGGGTTAAAGTACTAAATTCGCTAATGCAAAAATAGGCTAATAGTTGGGAATTCTCGCTTGCTTTGCATCTCCTTAGATAAATTTTAAAATTGATATTGAAAATAATATTGATTAGATGCTATAGCAAGTAAAACACTTGTTTAAATTGAGTTTTTTATTTTAAAAAATAAAATCGCTAAAAGATGGAGGAAATATATTGGTTCCAAGAACTGGAAGCGACTTTTGGCGAATATCGATGATATTTTCTCCATTTTTAACCAAATCTTTTTAATAAAAACTGAAAACTTAAATACTAATATTTACTTCCCCTTGCAGCATATATTAATTTTAATTTTTAATTTAATTTAAAAAAATTTCTAGGAGATATAGGCGAGATTCTCAATTTTATATTGTTTTTTTACAGTCCGGGGGGGGGGGAGGCCTGGCTGGGTAACTTTAGTAAAAAAAAAATTGGAAACAGGCCGAGCCGGTTACAAATTTGACCGGGCCAGACAAAAACTAAATTCCAATATGGCCGGGCCGGATCTGAAATATGGATCATTTTCGATTTTTTCTTTAAAATAATTTTTCAAAAAAATATTCATAAAATTTATTAAAATTTATGTATTTTTTAAAAAATATTTCTAAACCCTGACCAGGTTTGAAAAAAAATTACTCGAATATGCTTTTGAGTCCGAGATTTTTGAGAGTCTTAGAAAGTGAGAGGGCGTAGCTTGTCCTGAAAACGGGCAGAGAAACGTCAATCAATGTATCTTTCACGCTCTTTGTTAGTGAAGTGAAGCCCGTAGGAGATAAGACTTTGATCAAATCGGATAATCCATGTTTTTCGGGTAGCACAAAAAACATGGCCAAATTTGGGTTTGCATATGGTATTCTGAGAATTTCGATCTTTTGATTAAGAATAGAAGTTGGTAGAATTACTAAATCGTCTAGTTGAGCTGCACCGTATTGAAGCGTCCTGGTATCGTGCATCATCTTAACCTGTTCCACTACTCCATCGTCTCTAGTGAATGGCTCGGGATATGTCTTCCTTTATTAACCAAATTTTAGAATAAAACCATTAAGATTATTTAACCAATTCTTGTATAAAAAAAACAGTTGTAAACTCACTCTGGTTTAAAGGGATCTTTCCACTCACTTTTAAAGTAAATGGTGTCAACTATTAAAAATCTAGTGTCTGGATTAAGAGACTCGCGAGGTAATATATCTTTAATTACGCCTTTCGTAGCCTTTGCGATATCCGAATTGATGGTTTTAACGGCTTCATCGGCTTTTGTTTTGTAATTTAGCTTTTGAATGTGTGTCCCATAATACTTGGATACTTCTATGGCGAATGCCCGATCAACTTTAAATCTTTTATCAGGGTATATTCCATAAGATAACCTCACGGTAGTATTTTTGTAGTTTTTGAGAGTTCTAATAGTTTTGAGTATGGTTGAATGTAGAATATGCTGATTTTTAAGGGTAATCTGGTTGAATATTTGAAATAATTCTTCGTAGTGCAGGGTATGCAGCAATTGATTAAACATTTTCTCATCGGCCCCCAACAATAAAATGGCTAGTGAATTACCGATGTTAAAAGGAGAAAATATAAAATTATCCTGCCCCCCGAGCATTGGTATATCATGGCCTACATTCATGTTTTGAAGAGATTTTAGTAAATCCAAACCAAATAGTTGGTTAATCGCTCCTAAACGTTGCATATTATCATTTTCATCACCGAAACTAATTCCATCGCATTTAAGTAGGCATACAGTGAAAACAACCAAAAATGCTATAATAATATACAAGAACGATATTTATGTAAAATTATACGAATTAATATATATAAATTAGATTTAGTATCAATTTTTAATTTTTTAACCAACAAAATTTCAATTGCTATTCTAGATATTTATGTACTTACATTTAAAACTATTATAACCGATCATATATCTTTAGTTTTTCATCTACTATTTCAAAAAAAAAATTTTTGAATATATTTATATACTAAACAAAATTAATTAAAATAAAAGTGATACATATTTCAATGTATGTTTTTATTATTATTATGAATCAAACTCATAAATTATATAAAATATTTTTCTTCTTCTTTATCTAATCTTTAATCTTGAACATAATTATTCATTGCGTAAATAATCTGAAAATGGAGGATATTACTTTGGAGAGGGAGGAGAAAGGTGATTATTTAAATAAAATTTTCTAAATATTTATACCTAATAATAGGGGGGGGGGGGGTGCGTATTTCAAAATTATTCTATATACAAATTTTCTAATAATAGGGGGGGGGGGGTGGTTGCGTATTTGACCGGTCAAATACGATTCACAAAGTAATTCCATATACAAATTTTTTAGTCTTTATATTAGTTTAATATATGATCCATTGGTTGGACTTTTAATCTAATAATTAAATAATGAATAAAACTTTGAAAAATGAGATTTGGAAAGTTAAGCAAATTAATTATGCTAACGAGGAGTTATATATTTTTTTTTATTGTGTTAAAAAATCAATCATCTAACTTTAAAGTTGTGGGATAATCCTTTTTCTGTCAGACTTCGATCATAACAAGTTGTGTTTTTGATTGGCATTCATGTCATCATATCTTGTGACTCGATCCTGCTCTTTCGAATGTTGAAATCTAAGCGCTGCTTCATACAACTGATTATAAACTCCATACATAATTTTTGAAATATTTTATATAAATATCTTGCTTATTTTTTGATAATTTATCAACCAAAATATCAAAGTAAAATATATTGAAAAAATTGGAGTGTCTTATTGGATATTTTAAGATACTGAAAATTGTCAGAGTTATAATGCCGGGGAAAAATTACGGTAAAGGGTTCAACAAAATTATCTGATAATTGTCCCTGGGGTATGATAGAGTCTGATGCTTGTTTGATTTACTTCAATTAATTTTCAATTCAAGTTATTATCACATATCATATAACAGTGTAAATACCAGCAGAGTTCTTGAAACTCAGTAGTGTTTTGCAGTGGTGTCCGGGTCCAATCAAAGACCGATTAAAAAATATAAAAGTTTACAATGAATTACTTTTTAATAAATGTATATCGTAAAACATGATTAATTGCCTAACACTTTATAATATCTCATTCATTGTTTTCTTTTTCTATTCTCTTGCATAAAGAAAAAATATGTATAAAAATATTATTTTTTTATTAATTAATATATTTATCTAAGGAAATATGATATACTTGAACTGGGAAATCAGACGAATCTGAGAAAGATGATATATCGCATGAGAATGAATCTTTTCTGAAGCTAGTGATAAAATATTTCAAAAAAAAGGGAAAGGATGGAATCGAATGAATCCAAAGATGGTTCAATCCCTAATGAAATTTAAGTTATGGATAAAAATAGGAATTAATTTGAGAAGATTTTTAGAATATTTTTATATAAATCAATTTAACCAACTATTTATAACATATTATACATATCATATACTCGTTATATATGCAAATCGATTTATATTATATTCAATAAATTTTATATTAAAAATTATTAGATGGTATAATTAAAATATTAGTAATTTAACAGTTCATTTTAATAAATTTAAAGCAGAATAAAACTTTCATAGTATCACAAACCATATTTAAAATTAGACCGGTACAACAAGACCAAACTGGACTGACGGTCTCACAGTCTGATTTCATTCGACCTAACGGTCCAACAATTCAGTCCCATTTTAAAAAAAGAGCGAACAGGACTGGACCGCTACAAACACTACTCTGTTTGCATTTTGCTTTAAATTGCATAAACTGTTATAATATAATTACGAAATAATATTATTCGAATTTTATTCATATCATATACATATGATATGAATAGCCCTCGAAACTGAGACAAATTCTGGAAGCGGAATCAGGACGTCTGTAAATAATCATGAACCAATTTAGAACTGATTTTAAAATTTTAATAAATTCAAACTGGAATTGGTTTTATCATAAATGCTACCAATTTAATGCATATTCATTTAAAAATTTAGGGTGATTTATCTTTGAGGGATTGTTTGATAGAGTAAGCAGAACAAAACTTTCATAGTATCACAAAAACCATATTTAAAATTAGACCGTTACAACCAGACCAAACTGGACCGACGGTCTCACAGTCTGATTTCATCCGACCTAACGGTCCAGCAATCCAGTCCCATTTTAAAAAAAAGAGAGAACAAGACTGGACCGCTGCAAACACTACTCAGTTTGAATTTTGCTTTAAATTACATAAACTGTTATAATATAATTACGAAATAATATTATTTGAATTTTTATACATATGATATGAATAGCCTCGAAACTGAGACAAATTCTGAAAGCGGAATCAGAACGCAATTCTGAAAATAATCATGAACCGAATTTAGAACTGATTTTAAAATTTTAGTAAATTCAAACTGGAATTGGTTTTATCATAAATGCAACCAATTTAATGCATATTCATTTAAAATTTAGGGTGATTTATCTTCGAGGGATTGTTTGATAGACTTTGGAACCATTATCAGAACCTAGAACTATATGAACCGATCAGATTCCAGAACATAGAATAAAACTATAACTTTATTTTTAAAGAAATTTGAAGATGTAACCAGAACAAGGGCTCTATACAATTCAAGAGAGGCCACGACCTACAGACATTAAATGCAGGCTAAAATTTGATTTAATGATCTTGAGTCAGGCATATGTTAAAATTTTTTTTTTTAAATTAATGGATAGATACATAATTTATATGGGTGTAGCAAGGATTTTCCGGGGGGTGGGAGTGGGGGAATTATAAATAGGGGGGGGGCGAAACAACCCTTTTTTTGATGGGTCCTCGGAAAATGACCGGGTTTCAAACGGGTTTCCTAAGCCTATATATAGCTAAAAAATATTTTTATAGAATAGGAGTTTCATTTTAATAAAAACAACTTAATATTATTATTTAAAATGTGAAAATTGGTTGCCAAGAGATGGTATCCAAAAATAAGCTGTCTTGAACAAATAGGACATATATTTTTATTAGTTTGTATAAAATTTAATAAAATCCACATATTAAAACATTTTTTAACTAATATTTTTGATTTATCACAAAAGCGTTTTTCCAAAAAAATATAAGTAGTCATTAGTTTTAGTTTGAAAAATTATTAACCTTTACATTACTTTTTCAAATTATTGCTTAAGATATATGCTTGCATTTTTGGGAGATAATGGGTGAGGAGGGGGTTAAGGAAGTATTTTTATTAGCTTAAAATGTAAACATATTGAACATTGTATATTATATTTATTTAAATAAATTTATAAAAAATTAAAACAATATGGCGCTTTTTATTAAATATCTATAAAAGAAAAACCTTTGATAAGTAGAAAATTTTTAATTACACCCCAAAATTGTGATTAATTAAAAATTAGTAAATTTAGAGTGATTTATTAAATTGCACTACAGAAGTTTTTCTATTGAAAAGAATTATATATATAATTCATGATTCTTCAGATATCCATGTTCAGGCAACACTTAGTCATCCCTCGCAATAAAGATCATGACCCTCTTTGGAAGTTTACCACCACCGGGGCTATTAATATTAAATTTAGTTTCTTTCATTGAGAATTAATTTGATATTCTAATTAACTCAAAACAAAAAGCGCGGTAGAAAATTTAAGTGTCATTTCTTTCTCAAATTATCCATATCCCATATACATTCTTTTTAGGCCTTTTGACGATTATCGATCTTCCATGTGTTTGGGCATTTTTATTTTTGTATATGAAAAAAAATAAGCATATTCTTTAAAAGGTACTTTAATTTATGTTTTTATTGAGATTGATATACTTTATGTGTATTAAGATTATTAATGCCAATTTTTTAAATATATTTGAATTCGTATATTTATATATTGTAGCATTTAATAAATCTTTATACTTATTATTTTTGAAACTAGATTTAGATATTATTTTATTTTTATCTAAATACCAAACATTTTGATATTAAATTATTAATGGGACCTCAAAATAATTAATATATTGTATTAAACAATTATTAGTTTAATATTATATATACCAATTTTTAATTCAATATCCATACAATTTATACTAAATAACCTCATGTAGTAAATTTTTCTTAAAAGTTACATGAATATTAAATATTATAACCATTATTTTTAAGTTTACTAGACATACATTGCTAACTTTTCCAAAAAGGTTTTTACAATAAAAATATATAAATTACTTTTAAAATAATGTATATTATATACACTAATAATTACTTTGAGTGTTAATTTGGATGTGTTTGTTTTTGATATCACATAAATTATGCAGAGTCGTTTCTTTGTATAATTATGTTGGTTTGATTAAATGATCAAAAAAACCTAGCTTCTCAAATAAAAAAAACAAGAATTAAATTAAAATTATTAAGGGTTGTTCAAATCATCCTATTTTTTATGCTTTTTCCTTTTCCTCTAGAAATTACAATTACTTAATAAGGAAAAGTAAAAATTTGGGGGAATGTAAGGGGTTAAAGGTCACATTAGTTTAGATGTATTATTTTTTATTTATTGTTATATACTCATGCTCAAGTTTCAATTTATCCATTAATTTGGGCCAAGCTATGTTAAAATGTTTGAATGTTTTTTATGGGTTCACCTTTTTATTCTAACCATAAGCCACCTAGGCATATTTATTTGAAATATATTTAGGTAATCGCAGATCATCTTTATTTTATATTATAAGTTGAAAAATATGTATATTAGTGATCTGCATCGGGCCTAATTCTTCAAGCCCAACCCGAAATTTTTTTTTAAAAAGTTTTGCCAGCCTGGCCCTAACCCGATCTTTCTTTCTTTCTTTTTTAAAAAAATTTATTGGCCTGGCCTGAATTTATTTAAATATAGAAATTAATTTTTATAATTACTCAAAATAAAAGACATATGTCGTTTAGTTTCAATTTAACTAAAATCAAATATTTTTATTTTTAAATAATTCAATATAAAATTGATAAATTTAAATATATTTTAAAAAATTTCCAAGGTCCGACCCGACCCGAATTTTTTATTAAAATATTAGGCCTGGCCTGAACCCAATCATTTTAAATAGAATTAGGCTCAAACAGGCTTTGGGCCAGGTACGGGCTGGACCTAACTTTGCAGATCTCTAATATAGATTCCTCATTCAAGCTGGGCCATAGATTTTTATTAACTATGAGCAAGGCCATGTTATTTTATTATATACTATGGACTTCGCCTAAGTTTTAATTAATCCATCTGTTTGGGCCAGAACAGAACAACAAAATTTTAGTGTCTGTTAACCTCTGGGCCTAATACCAACTATTTTTCAGATAATATATCACAAAAGCTTTTTGCCTAGTATTTATTCTAACTGGATTGAATTTCCATTAGAGAAATATTACTGGTGCAAAACCAATATAAGGTAAGCCGTATGGAGACTAATTAAAATTAAGTTGAGTATGGGGTGAAGTTCCACTCCATTTATTTTTCTCACTACCAAGACCTAATTCATGAATTTTACATTTTATATATTGAGTATTGAATCAGAAATCTTCCTAAGCAGACCCACCCTTTGACCCATTCAGATTTTTTGCACAAACTGCCTGGCCCATCATTTAAATGATTGACTGCTAACCCAAGCCTGAAATATTTTTTAAACTAATTATCCAGCTCACCCTATTAAAATATTTTATTAAATGTAAGTCTGGACCGTTTTATATTTTTAGACAAATTTACTAAAAAAATTGGAGATTTTCGAGACCTGTCTCCATTTTTATGGATGAATTGCCAGGCCTATTGAATTTGCCTGCCGCCTTTAGACTGGTCGCACCTTGCAGATATCTGTATTTAATCTAGTGCTTTAAATTTTTACAAAAAAAAAACTAATTCGTTTGCGTTTGTCTTTCAATTATAGAATTGGTTCGCGTTTAAAATTTTGCAAAAAAAAAGAAAAGAAATGCGTTTGAATAATTCCTGAACACCAAATGCATGCTGTATAATAGAAGAAACATGGGCCCGATTCGGTCTAAAGTATCATTACATGTATGTAGCAAGAAAATCAAGATTTTCAGCCGAACCCTTTCAATTTCGATAAAAAGTTAAAGGCCGATTATATAGGTTCACATTAGATCAATAGCGCATTAGCAACTATATTAACGGGAGATAATCGGAGAAGCTCCAAAAGTCGTCCTTTTTTTATGGCTTCTTCACTGATATTTATTAGTTTTTAATTTAAAGCAAAATAAGATCCAATATTGAATCCGATATTAAGGGCTAGGCTAATAATCTATAATTTATGGCGAAAAATCAAAATGATTTTTTTAAAAAAAAAAATATGGGTCCTATGTAGTGTTGTTAAAACGGCTCATTTTGAGCCGATTTTTTAAAATGGCTAGCTCAATATTTTATTAGATTATTATGCAAGCCTTATAATTTTGCTCATAAGTGGCACAAAGGTTTGAACATCTGTTAACGAAATCTCGAGGCTTAATATTTTTCTGGCTAAAATATTGAGTTTTAACCGTTTTAAAAAAAATCTGCTCAAATTGAGCCATTTTACAACACTAGTCTTTATGGTCAGTAGAAAATTTGAGAATAATATTTCGATATTAAATATAATGTTCAATTTTTAATTTTCATTATTTCGTTTAAACTATTATTTTAATAATTTCTTCAACAATTAGCGCGACTGGATATTTATTTTAAAAAAATCTTTAAAATATTTTAATATATATGTCAGCGTCATTGCGTTTTTTTTTCGGCATGTGCGAATTTTTTAAAATTTTAATAATCTGATTTTACCAGAAATGTATGCCATCATGTTTGGAATATACCTACCCTGTGAATTTCAGACAATTTTATCGTGAACTTTTGAACTCAATATAATATATTAGTTTTAAGATAGATTTTTCACATACGTTATTAATGACTCGAAAGTTAAAGGTAAAATTATCTACAATTCCTAATATAGGTATTCTAAACATGCCGGAATACATTTTCGGTAAAATTAAATTTAAAAAAAAACGCTAACATGTATGATAATAATATAATATAATTAGGTAATATCGTAAACCTCATTCCCCGGCTATATTTGCAAGATAAAAATTTTTAATAATTTATATATATATATTTAAGTGTCTAGTTAAAGTGATTTTTAAAAAAATCAGGCTTAAAATGGTACAATATAATTATTAAGAGGAAAAATCGAAAATCACATTAATAACCAATTCATTTATGGAATGGTCATTTTCTTAAATTAATGCAAAAAAAAACGAAGATCAACAAAATTGAAGATTGTTTATTTACGAAGATCGAAAATTTTTTTTACTCAAAATTTATGATTCTCGACTTTAAAAATTTTGGGTTATAAAATGATTTTGAGCATTCTTTATAATATCTTTAAAAAAATTCTTCTGATCAAAGTCTTAGAATTTTGAGTAAATGCTTGTTTTTATCTTTTTCTAATATTACAAAAAAATTAAACTGATTAGTAAAATTAATTAGCGAAGTCTTATGTGTACTTTTTAATAAATTAAATCATGAAAAATCTAATCAATAAATAGAAGTTGCTAAAAAAAATACTAATTGATTTCTATAATATTTTTCTTAAAATAAAAATTTTTTTCAAAATATAAGCTTAAATGTTGCAATCCAATATTAAGCCAAAACATAAAAATTTCTACTTTTTTCTAGCATTTTTTCTAAAATATTTGTATATATATATTTCTAAACATATTTCACTGCATTTAATTCCCTTTTATAATATTGATTGAAAGCTAATTAGTTTTTATAATTTAAAGTTGAATATTTGGGACAGATATAAAAACCATCATTTGTAAGTTATTCCAATTTCAATATAAAATAAAAGTTTCATAACTTTAATTTATAAAAGAAAATGATAATATTATTTATCCGCTAGATGGCTTCTTTTGAAAATATTTAAAATTAATTTTAGTAATAGCGAGGATAATTTACTTTACCTGAATGATACTTGTGATTTTCTTTATAATATAAACATATAAACCCAAATTCTGCCCCTTGCAATCGAATATGACAGAATTATTTTCAGAGTATCATAGCGGATCAACTCTCCCGCTTAGGTTCTCCTATCAACTGTGTGGGAGCTAGTCAACATTTTTTTTTAAATAAAATCTTATCTAACTTCAAAAACTTCGAAGAACTCTTATCTGCTCACGAGGTTTTTTTCCCTTAATTTAAAAAAAACCCATCTTCAACATTTCCAAAATCTCTGCCTTCAGATCCACCGCTATCTTCAATTCACAAAGAACTTGAAACATACGAGATAAAAAATAAGAATCACCTGGTTTCAAGCACTTCCAGCGTAGGAATTGGTATTTGGTTCCCAATCTCATTATGGATTTGGCGATTATCTCATTTAGGTGTCCTAATACTTGAAGGAAGGGTCCTCATAAGAAAATAAAAAACATTTAAAAAAATGAAACCCGCCACTTATTTAAAAAATATTTTATTCACAAGCGTGGCAAAATTATAGTGAAAAAAAAAGATATGGTACCTTCATTCTCTTATCTGTTTCAGTTATTTTAAATTGCGAAATTAATTTTATTTATCTGGTTTGACTATGGATAATTAAACCATAAATTCCATTGATTTTTAAAATCAATATTGTTAATTAAATTTTGGATTTTTGCGATTGAAAAAAAAAATTGTGAAAATATATTAGAATATTCTATAAAGGTGATATCGATTTTTAAATATAATGGAATCTCTCCCCCCTCCTTATTAATAAATATATATCTTATGAAATTTATGAATT